TCAATACAACCACGTCCAGGTCGAAAACCAGCCTGGTTTTCTCTAGTCTGCTCTTCACGAGCTTTGGTTAGACGTCGAAGTATTATTGAAGCTAATATTTTAGACACTATATTAGTCAAACTAATTCCTCTGTTATTGTCACAGGAGGAATTTTGTCCTTTCTTATAGACTGGCACAATCAGTGATTGAGATCAGTCAGATGGGATTACGTCCAGTTCCCAGATTCTACCTAAGACCTCAGTCAATCTCGCTGCTAATACTGGACCGCCATCCTTAAAAATCTCAGGGGTAAACCTGTCTGGGCCTGCTGCTCTCCCAAGCTTCAGATTTCCTATAGCTTTTTCAACTTCGTAAAGAGTCGGAGGACTTACATCAACTTGCCATTCAGGTCGACTGGGGATCGTGGGAAACCGAAGTGTGGCTGAAGGCCAGTTGAACTGATCCCTAAAGTATTCTGCCCATCGATCCAATCTCCTGGATTGAGAATGAATAATATGTCCATCTTTCTCTGAGATTGTTTCGCTAACAGTTGGGTTCCTAATACCGGTTTCCTTAACAAGTCTGAACAGTTGCCTGCTGTTACCTATTGCCGCTGCCTTTTCCATCTCTCTTGCTTTCGCTACCCACCATTGTTCACGATCTTTGCGTAGGCTTCTAGTCAGCTCACGCTTAAGCTGACTCCGCTCTTCGTTATGTTCAGAGCCAGATGGAATGAGTTTTCGAGCATCTATCAGTGCGGTAGATGCTGCTGAGATCCAGTGTTTCTCCCTAACCTTATGGTTTACCGTACTTGCAGACATCACTGCTGTTTCTACAGCTTTTCGGATGTCATTCCATGCTGCCTCGGGGTGGGTATCACTTACATGGCTGCCTAACTGTTTTTCTAGATGTTCCTGAAATATACTCTTAGCTTGACTATCATTAAGTAGGACCCTAAGGGGTTTCCTTGCAGCATGTTTCCTACGTCCAGTAAGACGTAGACAGATACGCGCTCGCACTAGAGCATGATCTGAGTCTAAGCATGTGCTCCAGAATGAGCGACAGTCTTCTATCGAGCCCCTCCATCGGTGGCTGATAGCGATGTGATCTATTTGGGTCCAACGTTGAGACGAATTAGGGGGTCGCCATGTTAAAAGATGTTTTTCCTTATGCTTAAAGTTAGTGTTTGCAAGAAACAGGCGGTTATCTGAGCATAGCTGCAACAGACGGTCGCCGTTATCTGTTCTTTGAACCGCGACACCATAAGATCCACCCACGTATCTTTCCTTTTCGCTTAGTTTACCTACTTGAGCATTAAAGTCACCAGCCACTATTACTACATCTGAATGCCTAGCTTTTCGGAGAAGGTCGGAAAGCTTTCTGTAAAACTCATCTTTTACATCATCTGAGCTGCAGTCAGTGGGAGAGTAGGCAGAGACGACGAAGAGGCAACGACGAGTGTCCCTATCTTTTCGAGTCCTTACTGTTCCGTTTAGTCGGACAGCACACAAACGACTGTCTACTGGGATCCAGTCTAAGAGAGCTAGTTCTGCCCTAGGACTCAGTGCTATACCTACGCCAGCGAGGCCACGGGATGCAGCATCAGGGCTTCCAGATACACGAAGCGTAAATCGAGTTGGTTCGTTACTTTGGCATGGTGCAGACAAATGAATGACACTACTAGGATCCTGTGTGCGCGTTTCGGAGACGCAGCACACATCGATGGAGCGAGATTCTAAAGTCTTAGCTAAGGAAGCCTGTTGTCCTATTTGGCACAGTGTTCGGACGTTGAAAGCTCCTACGTGTAGTTTGGAGCGTGGTTTCAGGAGACCAGGAATAACATTCCGCGTACTCGAATCGTTCGCACTAGCGGAGCGAGGTGATAAAGGGACGTGAGAAGGGTTAGTCGTGGAGATAAGAGATTTATTTGGAGGTGTAGGAAGGATTTGAATGTGACCAACTTGGTCTCGTGTGCTGTTACGGGTATGAGGGCTGATATCACTTCCCGGTTGCCCACACCGTGGAAGGGTATTTCTTGAGGAACCTGAAAAGGAAATTGGATTAGTGTTGGTCTTAGCGACTTGAGTGCGTGACCGCAGAGCCCAAGGGACAACTGCTTGAGGCCGGTCGCGCACGGCCTTTTTGTGGGAGGTTTTTAATGTGTTAACTCCGTTCTTCAAAGGGCCTTACCGCCGGAGACGGAAATCCGTGGGGTAAGGTGAGGTGTGACATTTTTAGGGTCAACCTTTTCTAACCCCTTCCTTCCTTGTGAGAAGGCAGCATCGCTGCAGATGCTGGTTGTCCGAAGGAAACACCTTACTGCTATCACACCTCTGTACAGTCAGCAGTACGACTTCGCCCTCAGACCTTGAGTTGCTGCTTTTAGTCTTACCGTTCTCCAATCGACCTGCCTGGCATGGTAGAACCTGCAGGAACTTGAGTTCCAGCCAATATAGCTCGGTTGGGTCATCACGATAGGCAAGCCCGACCACCACGTCAAGGTAGCAGCTACGGTCGGGATTTTCAGTTTCAAATTAATCGACTAAGCGGATTTATTCTCATAGTCATATCCAGTTTTTTGTCAACAACACAATATTGGACATGATACCAAATGTTAATATTTTATGTTAATTTTGATACTCGAATCGTTGTGGTCATATAGAACTACCGAATATATTTTATTATTTTCATTACAATTAGGTATTTAAGTGTTGTTTTTTTTTTTTAAATTGCTTTTAAATAATTTTGATAGGGAAAGAATATTAAGATTCAATATAGTTCATGAAGCAACAGTTCAAGATTGTATAAATGGTAATACAAGGGTAAGCAATACTTGTTGAGAAAGGAAGACATTAGATGAATTAAACTAATCCCAATGATTGGCAACCGATGTTTACTATAAGTAAGATTATCTATTTAAAGCAAATTAATACATTATAGAAATCTCTTTACCGGTGAAAAAAAATCTAAAGTGATATTGAACTACTCAATTATTCTTATATGTTACTTCATTCCTTTGTTATTGCCTTATCTATTAGATTTGTTTATCTTTGAGTATATGCTCTTCTGCCTAAAATTTATCGATTATATTACATTTTCTCTAGAACTTTGAATAGGGCAATAAAAACAAAATTTGTTGGTTAATAAACAGTCTTAAGTTACAGTACTTAGTGAAAATAAGCTCAATGAAACAAGTGCACTGAAAAATACTAAGAGAAATGTTTTAGTTTTATTTCTACACGTATTTCTGAAACAGTATGTTTGGAAAGATGGATGTTGACTAGCAATGGAATCCAGGAAGCTCGTTTAGTTCTATCTGGGACTGATCAACTGGATGGACCTGCATCATACAGTTGACACTCACTACCGGACTCGAACCCGGTGCCGTTCGCTGCAAATGTCATCGCGCTTATAATACTAGGGACTAAAGGTAATATCGAGGCTATCTGTACAGGATTCATATATGCCAATAAGAGACTGATCACTTGCAGTTCTTAGCATTAAAAGGAAGATTCAAACGATCAATATAAAAATCGATTAGTGTTCGGAGAGAAGCAAGATTGGTAACGGTAGATTAGTCAGAACACTAACCGAATAAACCCCTTGAGTAATATAAATAAAAGTTTGTTTCACACAAGCCTTTGTCATAGATCTCTTTATAGGGCTAGAATTTTCTTATTCTTCTTTGTAACTAAATTAATATCTGTTGGGATATTCAAAAAAATATCCCAAAAATTATCCTGTTAAGTCTCATGCTTTCCTTGAACGTGAAATGGTGTCATTTTCCTATTGGTCAATATTCATGGTCCTCCTAACTGTATAAATATGCATTTGTCTGTGAATTATTATTCTCATTCTTCTTATCCTCCTGACCCCATAAACAATTTTCATCTAACGGTTCGTTTTCTGATACAGTGGAGATTGGGGAACAGTATTAGGGTCGTACTGGGATATCTTCAGTTGATCAATCGGTAGAATTTAGAGTAGCCACCACGGAGTTCACAATAATATCTTTCATTAATAACTTCGTTTGTTGTTTTGAATTTCTTACTACTAAATTAATCTAAGCTTTATTCTATTATATTTTTGATTTATTTTTCACTTGTTCAAATGAACTATTTGTGATTTTCAAATGAAATGGTAATTCGAATTTCTAAAGTATCTGGTTTCATTAACTTGAATTATTCCAAATCATCATGTTGAAACATGTGTTTCCTAATGAATGAATGAATGAATGAATGAATGAATGAATGAATGAATGAATGAATGAATGAATGAATGAATGAATGAATGAATGAATGAATGAATGAATGAATGAATGAAAGGTAAGACATTTTTTTGCCCAACCGACGCTTTATTATGCAGTGTTTCACAATTGATTGATCACTGGGTGACCAATGTCATACGTGTCTAGTCTTTATTATTAGTGCAGATTGAATGCTATCGATTATGTTGCAGTGTGGCCACCAGTCTAAGTGAATCGACACTGCGGGCACTATTGTAAGATTAGATGGTGGTTGGTGGTAATAATAAGAACTAGACACACATGACATTGGTCACCACCCAGTGATCAATCAATTGAGATTACATCTCAGTCCTACAGGAGGTCGGTCGCGGCCCGGATAGCTCAGTGGTAACGTCTCTGATTGTGAAGCTGGGTGACTCGGGATCGAATCCGCCAGGGAGCACCAGTTCCCTCAAAGATTACAGGTACACCTTGCTGACGAGTGCCAAGTAGCACGAAACCTGGGTCCAGGGTTTCTTGTCGACTACCTCCAACCACTATCTATGCAGTGTTTACCTGACATTAAATGAGCGATAAGCAGAGAAACGTCACTTACAATAATCGTGTACTACTTTAAAAACGTGTCCACAGTCGAAGCTAAACCATGTAATAAGACAGATTTATAACATTTATTGGTTTTCTTAATGTAAACTACATAAAATCATAATAAAAAAGAATACGAAGCAATACACAAAGAATTATTATTGTATTGTCAACTGTACTAGTGAATTTAGTATTATCTACCATTATTATTATTATTATTATTATTATTATTATTATTATTATTGTTAGTGTCTATATTTTTTCTATTTCTCCATTTATACCATATACATTCAACGAGTAGAATAAACAGACTTATCCCAATAAATACTGAGGTGACGATGAATGCCCCAGCGACATTCCATATTGTCAGAGCTTGGTATTGCACATCCATTGGATCAACATCAGAAGTCATATTCCATTTTACCATGAATTTGTTGATTATGCCTCGCTCTCTTAAGATTAGTACACTTGATAAAATAAACATTGGTAAAATTATGATATTTTTTAATTAATAAATAATAAGATTGTTATGTGAATTCAATATGTAATAAGGGGGTAGGGGGTGTTATCAAGGTAACTACGATAAACGAATTGGGAATGATGGATGTGAAGATTAAGATAGAGATAATCAAAATTAATGATAATAAGGAAAATAAATAAAATTAGAGGAAGGGGGTAAGAGGTTTAAAATATTCAGACTAAGTGTTTGGTGATCCAGTCGTACGCCAAGGTAAACATAGAAGCTGGATATAAATTTTTTCTGGATACATAAATTAGGTCTTCTAGAGTTGATCCAGATGGCTTCGGCTATGTAAAGTAGTCGTAATCTAGCTTCTTAAGGTAGATAATTTGGAACAGAGAAAGCTTCCTCTATTTTGATATGATGTTCATTATCTACCAAGTGTGAAAGAATAGCACTGTTAATCGATTTAGTAACTTCTTTTCTCAACCATGCTGGTACATGTTCACGAACACGCAAGGATAAAGCCCTCTGAGTACGGTCTATGTAACTAGCTCCATAGGAGCAGTTGAATTGGTATACACACATGATATGTGATAAGACAGAAATTATTGACATTTTACGGGATTAAATTTTGTGGTTAGTGTTTCTTCAGTCAAATTTATTAAACATGTATGATTAGATTTGTATGTTCAAATGATACACATTCACTTTGTTTCATTACAAAAGAAATAATAGATCTGATCTGATTGGATAGATTTAACTAACATTGGTAATGGCTAAATCTATCTATATCTATCTATTGAATTCTTTTTTTCAAAACATCAAGTTTTTTTTCGGCTTATTAAATAGTTCACTTGACCTGTAACAAACTGAATAAACTCTTTTCTTATTAGAAGTAATCATTTATGATTTTCGTGCTCGTGAACACCTTCCAGCGTGGCTTAACAAAGGTTTGATGAAGAAAGTGAACAGCTCAATATTAGCCCATTTAGTACAAACTGGTCATAGTGCCAGTATAAACTAGTCTTTTTCAATTATTTATAAGGTCAGTAATTTTTTGCTTAAACTGGTCAAACTGAAAGTCCTTCAAACAGCTGAAGCAATAGCCATCCGGATGAAGAAACCGGAGCTATGCGTACAGAAGAAATATATTCAACCACTCCTCGTCCCCTGGCCAACATCAAGGCCAATTAATCAATCGTAATCTTAACTAGGACCTTTCGTAGTGAATTGTAATTTTCTCTGTAATCTTTATTCATAAATCATTGTATTATTATTATTATTATTATTATTATTATTATTATTATTATTATTATTGTTATTATTATTTTTCGTATTCATTATTAATCTCCCCTATACATGATTCTTCCCTCCTTATTACGTCTTACCTATTTGATCGAATGGTAATTGCACTATTATTTTTCTTACCCTACTTGACCCATATTTATTCTGATCATAGATCTTAAAATCTCACTGAACATATACTCAGATTCAAGTTAACATTCTTTATGAGTCATAACAACATGCACAATTTTATTGTATTTTATTTATCACAATCCTAAATTCACATGCTTTAAACTATGTATTTTACCCTTAACTTGGCCATTTTTCGGATTATTAATTTGGATCTATGAATTGTAGAACCTGAAGAGAATTTATCGAAAAAGAATATTCTTCGTTCAAATGTTAGTCTTTTAATATGACGGGGATATTTAAACGAATCATTTATGAATTGGGAAATATTAGAAATCAACAATTTCACTAATCAGAGGTTTATAAAGTATATATTCATATATAATTAACTGATCTATATTAAATAAACGTACTAAGATGACATAGGTTTTGCATATTCTTTTCCAAGTTGCACAGCGAATCCAAGAGCGGCTACAATCCCAGGTTCTTCTATCACTTCCAGATTTGAACATTCCTCTGATTGTAGTACACTCATAAGAAATAATTTTTCAGTTATATAGACATAATTATCAAACTTGATCACCAGCTTCACTGCTTCACCTGTACTATATACATTAACAGGATTTGCAACCAGCTTTCTATATATGGATTCATAAAATGTATTATTTACTGAGACCTATTGAAAATAATTACAAAGGAGTAGATGAATATAATCTGGAAAAAATACACCTAACAACGCTGAATATAAACATTAATTTTCTCAATTTATGTGGGTGCCTGTAGAGATGTTGAAACTTTTAGTAAGATATTTTTGAACTAGCAGTATGTCCACATTAATTGAATTAGAAAAATAGTTTTATCTTTAAAGAGCTCACGTCAAGGCAGTTCTACTGTACGGAGCTGAAACTTGAAAAACTACAACAACCACCATCAAGAAGGTACAGGTATTTATTAATAGCTGTCTACGCAAGATACTCAACATCCATTGGCCGGATACCATCAGCAACAGCCTTTTGTGGGAGAGAACCAACCAGCTTCCAGCTGAAGAGGAAATTAGGAAAAGACGATGGAAATGGATAGGACATACATTGAGGAAATCATCAAACTGCATTATGAGACAAACGCTAACTTGGAATCCTGAAGGGAAGCGGAAAAAAGGAAGGCCGGAGAACACATTAAGTCGGGAAACAGCAGCAGATATGAAAAGGATGAATAAGAACTGGAAAGAGCTTGAAAGGATTGCCCAGGACAGGGTTGGATGGAGAATGCTGGTGAGCGGCCTATGCTCCTTCACGAGGATTAACAGGCGTAAGTAAGTTAATCTGCTCATCATCTGTAAATCTCTGTTTAAAAATATGTAGTTTATTTACAAACTTAGACCTTATGATATATTTCACCCATTTGTATCCATTCCAAATTGGTTAAAAATCTTTTTCGCAGTAAGTTTATTAATTATAATGCCGTTGTCAGTAAATAGTTAATGAAAAGTTACTCACAAATTTGTCAACTAAGGGTAAACAACTAAATTAAAAAGGTAACCACTATGACAGTGTGATAAATATTCAAACAAGAATACATATTTTATTATTATAAGCTTCAAAATTGAAAATATTGTACTGCCAACGTAAATATAGACCATGGTATTCTTGGTAACAGACGATGAATTTTAACTATTGTTTACATGGTACTCGACATTTGATTCCTCTGTAAAAAAAATACTGTAGGAAGCTGTAGTCAGTAGATACAGTTAAATGATATCATATCGGTATACTGCTTTACTTCAGCCCAAAACTGTTTCCAGCAATTATATACCTTATTTATAAATATCATACAGCTGTAAACGATATTCCGTGCGAAAAATTTTGCTGACGTCCATTCTCACCGCCAAAAGTCAGATTATGAACGGACATAAATGGCTGTCATCCAACTGAAAATGAGTTGATCATAATATATACAAAAGAAAATAACAGTTTGCTATCCTCATAAGGATGATAATTAAAAACAAATATAATCAATTTTTTATGCAAGGACATTGTTTTGAATGGACTTAAGTTTGAATATATTAATGAGTATACCATTTAAAATGTAAGCACGCAACATTTCTACCGAATATCTTGTAAATGAATACATTTTTATTTCAATCGGTAAGATCATGTGTCATTTGAAGCTAGACCACCATGAAAAACCTGGAATCACTGGACGACCGCTTCGTTCTATTGTGAGACTCTTCAGCAGTGCGCATCCACGACCTCGCCCTCTGCAAGATTCGAACCCAGGACTTACTGGACCACTGAGTCGGTTGGCATCCAACAGTATTAATGTGTAACGTCAACTAATCCACGAAATTGAGCAACACATCCACCATTGTCTTCACTGAGTTATTATCTCACAACAGACCTGGTTGAACTCCATTGGTCACTACTTCTCACTAGAACTCCAGGATATATCTCTTGAAGCCTGTCACTAGTGAGCATATGTTGATTAATATCAGAAGGGGTTTTGTGGAGATTGTAGTGTTTCCAGGTTTTCCACGGTGATCTAGCTTCAATCTCCACAAAACCCCTTCTGACATTATTGTTTAATGTAATAGTTCTAGATACTTTTATAAGTCTCAAGTCTTTACAAAATATATTATAGAGAAATTAATATGAATAATCAATCCTCATAGACAAAATCTCATTTAACTATGAAATAAAGAATCCAACATTCAAACTATAAGCTCTGAGAAGTTGATTGCGATGCCGTTTAAAAGGAATAATTTAATATTGGAGTCGATGAAAAATGTTCAGTTTCAATACTAATCTTACTAAATTTGATTTTTGTGCTCAATTAATAAGGATGTTGTAGTGTCTGTTGTTATGTTTAAGCCCAAATACCTTATTCTATCTTTCCGATGGCTCAGTCTATTCATTCTACTAAAGTCATATTCTGATCTTGATAATTATTCGCTTATCCAATCTTGACTGGTCTTATATGAGCGCGCAGGTGTGTATACCCTTCTTATCCCACTGTTCATCACATGTCTGTAACTTTTGTATCACTATGAATATTGATCAACGCTTGGTTAAATGGGAGTTGGTTTACCCGCCATCTCCACTGCGCGTCATTGTGCTTCGTTCTATTCCATTCGTTTCACATACAAAATATATGTATCCAAAAGTCCATTCTCGTTATTTGACTTATTTAATTCCATTATTAACTAACGTGATTTAAGTCAATGATTATATACGAGGATAGGCGACATATATATTTCAACAACGACCATTCATACGATCTATTTGGAGTCAGATATTGGTCCACTAAAGTGGAGAGCCCTTCGACAATATCGACGATTTAAATGACAACAAAATAACGGACCCCACAAAAAGTGGTGAGCCCGCCGACGACGACAAACCAAAGCGCCTCCACAATGCAATTATTTCTAGTAGGAATGAGACTTCACTATTTTCTAATAAACGGGTTATATTCAGGAACTAGAGAATTTTAATCACATGATTTGTTTTATGAAAGCGAATTAGTCAGTTGTCAAAACTGATTCCTCAATTCAATATACAATTATAATAAATAGTTTGGTTATATTATTTCTTACCTGAAACATATTGTATGTACTAGTTCCTTTCATAGTTAATATTATAATCTTATCATTGTGTGCTAAGTCCTTTAACGAACTAATTGGAAGTTCAAGATTGTTTTTTGTTAGAAATGCTGTTAAATCAGCCTGCCATATAGCGTGTACAATTAAAATCATAAACCAATACATTAAGCATAATGTGCGTGACGAAAAACAGAATAATCTACCTTCTTGTCCTAGAAGAAAATAAACAGAAAAGTAGTGAACAAGATTCAGTTTGGGAAAACTACAGTTGTAACATATAAAAATCAAACATTCAATACATTATTTGCACACCTTCCTTTAGTTGTCATTTATATGCTTCATGGTTCTTTCACTTCTGTAGTTATTACAATTTCTCCCTATTTCCCTTTTCTCTTCAATTCAGTCTTCTGCTAGCAGACATTCCATTCCTAATTGATGCTACATACTACTTATATCTGTCAGCATAAATAGAATACACCACAGATATACTAGTAATCGATATACACACATGTGCATAAACATTAATTTGTTATTGTAGGACCATCCGAGTCGTTACAGAATATGTTATTGTCATAGATTCAACATCCATTTTAATATTAGGAACTTAATCCTATCTTTCCCATATCAACAGGTTTATTCAATGCACTACATTAGATAGAATTAGTCAAATTTACTTAGTGGTCTCATACTTCGAAAGTAATGATTTATAAGGCACAAAACTAGTTCACACATTATCATAGATCATTATAAAGACAATTACATGAGGACATCTAAATATTCTATCATCTGAAGCGATGAGTACTGGTTTTTCGTTAACAGGGTGATCAACAGAAATCAGGGTTTATGAGCAGAATAATGCATCTTGGATTGTATTTCCATATTATAATATTATTTGGTGAGTGTTTTCTTGACATCAGAACAAACAAAACATTGCACAAATAGATTAAAAAGAAAACCAATGGACCATTTTGTAGAAAATTACAAATATTTAATTAATACTAGGTATACGGGTTAAAATAAAAAAAAAACCTAAATGATGATCCTACAACATAGCTCAAATAAATAGGACAAGAGGAATCCCTAAAGTGCTCATTCCATTATTTTCATCAATGATGGAAATAAATCTGAGTTTTAAACTATGACCAGAAGGTATATCATTTGAAAAAGCAACAACAAAATAATTTAGTTATTACAAGTTGCATTAACAGTGTGTTGGTCAAACATTGTAGCAAGTAACTGACTATTTTAATAACTCAAATTATTAAACTTTTGTCAATGCACCAAATAAACATAGATATGAGTGAGTATTCTTAATGCTTTATTTATCATTTAAATATGTTTCTAAGTCATGACCTGTCGAATAAATCAGTTTCTTTCAATGAAGGTGTTTATTGGATATGAACTCTTTATAAGATTTCAACATCAACAATGAAACGTTTTCGCAAAAAATTATTTCAAATGTTTATCCAAAAAAAAAATTGATTCTAGACAATAATTAAACATGTAAAACGTTGGTAGCCCCCAAAAGCCCTGGTACGGCCGAGAGTGGAGAGAGACCGCTCTCCCTCTCCAAATGCTCTCACATGGCCACGCGTATACAGCCCCTGCCAGGGAAGTCCTACTCACTGCACTACCCTCTCGTGGCATTACTGTTTTTTAAGAAATCCAGAGGACGAAAACCGAATGTCCGGCACTTTAACCCGATCCCAAACCAATGTTGCACAGGGGCTCCAGTATCCTGAAGGAACAAATGGCGTATGAACCAATCGTTGGTCACCGGCTACCATGGGACTGCATCTCCTTACGATGCCCCACTGCCTTATGGATCAGATCTTCAGGTCGAAGGCTGCGGGTGTGGAACCTTAAGAAAACCAACTGCTTCGGTTTGGGCACCCGTGCAGTATATCAATTGAAATTTGTGTGGTGCATGTGTATTTGGTGCCTCCTTGTACCAATATCTATGTGTTCAAGTAAATAAATAAATAAAACGTTGGTAAATCATTAATGACTCGAAAACCTAATGTATGACACTTTAGAATTAATTAAGTTTCAAAGCTTACCTTGTAAAAGCATACAACTTAGTGAAATCCATAAATTATAAGAAAGAGATACTTCATTTGAGTTAGCTTCTGGAAGTTGTAAATTCCATCCACTGAATGGACTATACCTATTGAATAACCAAACTGTTATTCCAAGAATAATCACTGAACTAGTAATTGCTATCCAAACATTAATTTGAAATAAATGAAACATTTGAAAGAAAAGATAATTTGCTGTCGATGGTTTTACAAGTATTCCAACTGTATCTTCAAGAATAGGACCAATAAATTCCACATAATTTGATCTTCTTGGATTGATTGTTAAACCGGCAGCTATCATATCAACTCGCTGATATGTATAATCAGTAAATAAGAAAAACTGGATAATAAAATATTCATCTTTAGTTAGTACAGAAAATGATATACATCAAACCATTATGAAATATCATAATATCCAGCGGTATACTTAAATTATGAAAGGATTAAAAGCCTCAACCTTATAAATCTATTGAACGGTTAATCAAGTAACCCTGATGCATTTTAAATAACCATTAATACACAATCTCTCATGACAGAAATAACATCGATAAGTTTTTACAGATTTGAGGATATTTCTTAATTGAAAAATAATGATTTGACACTGGTTAAAATTTTTAATCTTGACAGATAATTGTATAATGAATAACTCAAAGTTGCCGGAACTATTGATAACACGCATTGGTAACAATTTGAAAACATCAAGTTGTCTAATAAAAATCTGATATACTCATCTATGAATAGTTGGATATAAGGATACAGAGAACAAGTGATCTTTTTGAAAAAAAACAGCATTTGATATCTAGTATCTTTCTAAATTGCTCACGGTTCTTTGAACTAACAAGACAAGCCCCTACATGGAATCCTGAAGGCCAAAGGAGAAGTGGAAAACCAAAGAACACATTACACCGGGAAATGGAGCTAGATATGAGAAAAATGAACAAGAATTGGATGGAACTACAACAGAAGACGAAGGACAGAGTGGGTTAGAGAATGCTGGTCGGCGGCTTATGCTCCATTGGAAGTAACAGTCGTAAGTAAGTAATAGCTCACAGGTTACCTATAATTTTATCTTCATCAGGATATAATAGTATAGTATTACTATATTTAAAGATGAGTTTGGTTATTAAAACGAACTAAATATCGATTAAACTCTACCAGCTCACAAAAGTACGTTACCTTATATCATTTTCAAATAAATACATAGTAATATATTGATCTTCATTGGTGTTCAGTGTAAATATTTCCACTAAAAGAAATAACACTTTTAACCAGTTGATTTAACCCCATAGTTATATTGATATGTACCCATCTACAATAATGATATGTTATGACATGTCGGGAAACGATCTACAAAACAAGGACCATACGAAATCGGTCATTATGTAGAAAAAATTCACTAGTCCGTAATATAACTTCTTTACGACAAGTTATTAGGAGTTTTATGATAATACTCCTCTTAATAAGCAGTTGTTTATCTCCTTAAGTACATCTATCCTCCAAGTAACGACAGAGATCATTGAGATTAATTTTAAAAGTATATTGAAAACTTCGGAGAATTATTATAAACATTGTACAATGAACAATAAAATTAGAGCCATCACTAAAACGATACACTAATTTGGAAGCTAAAATACAATACTTGGATCCTTATCCGCGGTTATGCTAAGTATTATGAAAGATCAATCTAGATGTCATGTATATACTCAGTAGTTATTGGTACCAATACTTGTAACACTCTTTTTCTATTGCTATTTTTACTCATTTTATAATATATCCAAGATCCAGTTTTATTTGCCCCTTTAAAAAATTTCAAAATCTTGACATGTTTATTAAATAAGAGTTTAACTGGATGTTTTTTTACTTTACTTACTCCATTTACTAATTCACCCATCATACCATCCCAATCTCCTTTTTCATCCAGTGAGCCATACGTACCATTCTGTGGTACGAAAAGACGATAACTATAGACATTGAGAAGGTTAATAATAAAACAATCAGTGATTTATATTTATAGTTTAATGGTTTATAGTTGTCTGTTTCATTTGAAAAGTATAAATCTTAGCTAAATTATTTTCATCACCTAATACTTTAAATTCAAGCTAATCGTTTTCCAGTTTCTAGAAGGAAAAAAAAACATACATTGGAATGAATATCGATTAGTGTCGTTAAAAATTTTTTTTATATTTTCAGTAACGTCTATTCAATGTTCAAAAGTTCATTGACTTCTGACTTGAAATTCCATACATGAAATCTCTTCTCTAATCTACATTCTAGAGAATATGCGATTTGAATCTAATATATCACTAATCATAATAAATGGGAATATTTCAATAGATCTAAATTCATCAAAATTAGACAATAGTGTACGGTGTCGCAACTTCGTGGATTAGTTGAAGTTAGACATTAACACCGTTGGATGCCGGCCGGCTCAGTGGTCTAGTTGGTTAACCGCCTGGCGCGAGACTGATAGGTCCTGGGTTCGAATCTCACGGGAGGAGCGGGATCTTGGATGCGCACTGCCAAGGAGGAGTCCCATACTAGAAAGAAACGGCAGTCCAGTGCTTCCAGGTTTTCCATAGTGGTGTCTAGCTTCAATGGATTCATGATTTCACCCAATGAAATTTCTAAAATCTCCACACAATCCCTTCTGATAAAATTAAATTAATGGGAGAATAAAAGAAAATATTGCTGTTAATTATTAAAAATCATTCATGGTTAAATGGAGAATATTCCTGTTTAAGCTAAACGTTTTTAACTGTTACCAATTCTAAGTCTAAAAAAATCTGTTTGGCAGTGCTTTCAACCATAAATGTGGTCAATATAGTAGTAGATATGTTCTTTAAGCCTTTATCTTAACTAAACAAAAGAAACTGTGTATTTATTGATTTACATTTAAGCTGGATCCTAAAGTCATTTGAAAGTCCGCATTACTTGTTAAAAAATCAATCGGCTGAATGTGAATTCCCCCTGGTTGTTTATAATAGAACAACATCAATGAAGATCATTGAAGATTAACATACCTTCAACTCTGTCACAAAAATTTGATTATAATTTAATAATGACCATTAAGTCAGTTTACTTGTAAATATTTCACCTTATTTTTTTTGTAATTCGAGGTTAATAGCTCATACAAACAATGGTTCAACATCACCTGTATGCAGAATGAATTCATTACTTACTTACTTACTTACTTACTTACTTACTTACTTACTTACTTACTTACTTACTTACTTACTTACTTACTTACTTACTTACTTACTTACTTACTTACTTACTTACTTACTTACTTACTTACTTACTTACTTACTTACTTACTTACTTACTTACTTACTTACTTACTTACTTACTTACTTACTTACTTACTTACTTACTTACTTACTTACTTACTTACTTACTTACTTACTTACTTACTTACTTACTTACTTACTTACTTACTTACTTACTTACTTACTTACTTACTTACTTACTTACTTACTTACTTACTTACTTACTTACTTACTTACTTACTTACTTACTTACTTACTTACTTACTTACTTACTTACTTACTTACTTACTTACTTACTTACTTACTTACTTACTTACTTACTTACTTACTTACTTACTTACTTACTTACTTACTTACTTACTTACTTACTTACTTACTTACTTACTTACTTACTTACTTACTTACTTACTTACTTACTTACTTACTTACTTACTTACTTACTTACTTACTTACTTACTTACTTACTTACTTACTTACTTACTTACTTACTTACTTACTTACTTACTTACTTACTTACTTACTTACTTACTTACTTACTTACTTACTTACTTACTTACTTACTTACTTACTTACTTACTTACTTACTTACTTACTTACTTACTTACTTACTTACTTACTTACTTACTTACTTACTTACTTACTTACTTACTTACTTACTTACTTACTTACTTACTTACTTACTTACTTACTTACTTACTTACTTACTTACTTACTTACTTACTTACTTACTTACTTACTTACTTACTTACTTACTTACTTACTTACTTACTTACTTACTTACTTACTTACTTACTTACTTACTTACTTACTTACTTACTTACTTACGCCTGTTACTCCTAATGGAGCATAGGACGCCAACCAGCATTCTCCAACCCACTCTGTCCTGGGCCTTCTTTTCAAGTTCCATCCAATTCTTGTTCATTTTTCTCATATCTATCTCCATTTCCCGGCGTAATGTATTCTTTGGTCTTCCTCTCCTCCTTCGACCTTGAGGATTCCATATGAGGGCTTGTCTTGTGACGCAGTTCGGTGCTTTCCTCAATGTGTGTCCTATCCACTTCCAGCGCTTCTTCCTGATTTCTTCCTCCACTGGGATCTGATTTGTTCTCTCCCACAGTAGGTTGTTGCTAATAGTGTCCGGCCAACGGATCTGAAGTATTTTGCGTAGACAACTGTTAATAAACACCTGTATCTTTTGGACGATGGATTTCGTAGTTCTCCAGGTTTCCGCCCCATACAGTAGAACTGTCTTGACATTTGTATTGAAAATTCTGACTTTGGTGTTGGTTGCTAACTGTTTTGAGTCCCAGATATTCTTCAGTTGTAAATATGCTGCTCTTGCTTTGCCAATCCGTGCCTTCACATCTGCATCAGATCCACCGTGTTCATCGATGATGCTGCCCAAATATGTAAAGGTTTTTACATCTTCTAAAGCTTCTCCATCAATTGTGATTGGATTGTTGCATGTTGTGTTGTATCGAAGAATCTTGCTTTTCCCTTTGTGTATATTGAGACCTATTGCTGCTGAGGCTGCAGCTACACTGGTCATCTTCTCTTGCATTTGTTGTTGAATTGATGATGTTGTTGAATTCATTACACGTGCGAACATGAGGAAAAGTAACTGTTATGAAAATCGGCAACAATTTAAGTTATAATTAAATTATTTTCAAACTTTTGTCAACTATGACATTATACGTAACGGTATACATTTATAAGAGAATATTTTACCTAAAATTGAAATGCATAGCCAGTTCATTTAGTATATCGATTGCAAATCCTGTAGCGTTGATTATTTCTCTGTTTTCAATTACCTGACCAGTCACAACAAATGGAGGATCCTGTTAAACAAAATAATCAAGTAATAATAACCAGTGTTTAATCGATTTAGATACACAGTTGAATTTCTATAGATGTACAGAAAATCCTAGAACTTCTATTAAGAAATGAATGTTTGACACAATTTAAAAGCACGACTTTTCTTTCAGTGTCTGCCTATTTTAAACTAGCAACAATACTATCTACTAATTTGTATCTATATCAAAGTTACTGAAAAAGTATTTCAGCGACAATGTGGTATGGCAACTCGAACTAATGTACGTACGTCTTATATGTTGTGACCGTGAATGTGAGAGCAGCGAATTATCGATCGCACCAAAGACGCGTAAACACGTAAGAACAGCCTAGAGTTCTGATTGGTCGTGCTTCCCTGTCTAGCCCAGCCAGTTGAGTCCAAAACACAAGTCTCAGCATCTGCGATATGAATCATTATATTTCAAACATATTCTGTTTATATACCGGACAAACAGACTACATCGTACCATAAGATAGAACGTAACATTTGTACAAGATTTGACCTCCAGGAAATGACACGTTGGATAAATTTTGACCAATAGGGAAATGACACCATTTCTCATTCAGGAATAGCATTAGATAATTTCTGGGGTATTTTGTGAATACCCCAACAGTACGTACGAAGTTCTACGTTGCTACTGACTGACTGACTGAACGAAGTAAGGAATTGTGAGTCTGAGAAGTCCATACACCTAATAAAAATTTTATTTTCATATTGAATAAATTTGTATTATGGTGATCCTTCTACAATTGAAAGAACATACGGAACTCAAAAAAACTTTCAACTAATATCAAAGTCAGAATCTTCAATACAAATGTCAGGACAGTTCTACTATACGGAGCTAAAACTTGTACAGCTACTACAACTATCATCAAGAAGGTACAAGCATTTATAAATAGTTGTCTACTCAAGATACTCAAAATCCATTGGCCGGATGCAATCATTAACAGCTTACTGTGCGAGAGAACAAACTAGCTTTCAGCTGAGGAGTAAATTAGTCTGACGATAGTTTTTGTAAATGTTGGTAATTGTATGACGAAGCCTTAGTAGCTGAAACAGATATTTCACAAGAATCACTTCATAGCCATTTGACCTGATAGTTTGATTTACGCAGCAAGTCAACAATGTCAGGAAATGTATATTCATTGTTACTGGTTACTTAAGTCTGTCCATAGGTCATTATTTCCCTCACCATTTTGGATCCGATCCAACGCCTTTAGGTACACTTAATATGATCGCCATCTCATTCTGTGTTGGATGTCTTCCTACTCTTTTGTAAAACACCCCTTAGGTAAAACCAGGGAGTAAAGGTTTTTATGTTGGGAGACAAGCACCCAGTTATATGAGAGCTTTTTAAGGAGGTTGATACCCTCTTACTCTTTGCCGTATCAGGATGACCTGTAATAACCAGTTCGTTATGTGAAGTAGCATCTTAGATCTTCTCTTTACTTGTAAGAGTTGTCTGTATCTGCATAGTGTTGCTTATAATACAGAACTTTATGACGAAGCTTCCAACTGAAGAGGAAATTAGAAAAAGACTATGGAAATGGATAGGATATACATTGCGCAAATCACCAAACTGCTTCACGAGACAAACGCTAACTTGGAATCCTGAAGGGAGGAGGATATGTGGAAGGCCGAAGAACACATTATGTCGGGAAATAGTAGCAGATATGAAAAGGATGAATAAGAACTTGAAAGGATTGCCCAGGACAGGGTTGGATGGAGAATGATGGTGGGCGGTCTATACTCTTTCACGAGGAGTAACAGAGGTAAGTAAGTATGGTGATCCTCTGAAAGCGTTAAATATCAAATCTTAAAATGAGCTAGCAAATATCTAAGTTTGAAAAATATCTTTATATTACTTGGAGACTACACTGTGGAACTAAAAAATAAACAGCTAATATTTCCACTTAAATTAGAAACTGACCAATCAAACAACTTACACAAATAAACATTCAAGACTGAAGCGATCAGTGCATATAATCAACTAAAAGGCATTTATTCATCAGATTTAGTTCTTTTTTTTTTTATTTATTCTACTAAAAATACATATATAGTGGCATAAATGGTCTCCAAAATAAACATGCTCTACACACATAAGAAAATGAAATTGTGAAAAAATATATAGAGAGGAAAGTGTATAATTAAAATAAATAGTGAATAAAAATGAGTGAACGAAAATAATTTATATTAGAGGAGAGGTAGTTCAGTTAAAAACGCAACCAGAAAGAATGCATTCAGTTATGTAAGTTACACTTGTTTTTTATAAGTAGGATTAAAAATCGACGGTAGGAATGTGGTTGGCCCCTATTATAAGCCACATTTCATGTCAGTGAATTGCACCATCTCTCGGATCCCAACCAGGAAATCGAGATGTAACAACAGATGCCAGTCCTATACAGCCTTTATTCATGAACCTGTGATATGTAATAAGCTAACCACCAAACTTTGTCCAGCCTATTTCAGAGTTTGAAAATGTAGCAGTGTAGAAATCACTGACAAGACATATGTCTAAGCCATAGAATCTAGTATTTTATGATGGTGATACTGGCTGAATTATTATCAAACATTTTCAAACCTCGGCATTATTAACATAGTGTTGGTATTGGCTCTCAGCCATCTATCAGAGAGAGAGTTGGCAAAAATCCTGAACTAACTTTGACCCTTACACATAGCTTGTATCCTACAATCCTTAAGAAGAGAGTTAAAATAAAGCAAAACAGTCGTTTTATTAAATATAACATTGTTAGAATTTATGGTGCGGTAATTTCTATAGCCGAGCAGAAACTGTCTGGTTATTCACGGGAACTCAAATAAAGACAGTAAGAATATCACAAAGAACTTGACCGCAGATGTATACCATCATATCAAACTAAGATTAGTAGCAACCCTAAGACTATAAGGATCAATACTAACGCTGAACACTTGACAAACATTTTATATCAAAGTTTTCATCAATCAAACATTTTTAAACCAAAAGCCTTAAGTTAATCAAGTACTTACGATAATTGTTGATATTCGAAGGATTTTATTATTAAATGACTGAAATACAGTTGGAAATAGGCCACTTTCCAAGCTTCTTTGCTTAATTTTCATTCCTTTACTTGTAAGTTTCATATTGTCATCAGGAGTGTAATGAGCAGTGGATATAAAATTTTTCATTGCATCATCAAACGTTTCAAGTGAGTAAAACCATAAAGATTTCCAGATATTAGTCCCAGACCTCTAGCATTTGAGTAAAAATATGTAAGTAAACACTGAGATTATGTGAATGAAATACCAGTTCCTCCATTCTGAAGATAATAATCAATATAAATCTATAAATTTTACTTGATTTTATATTACTACGTTTAGTGTATGGTAATAGGTTGCAACCCGTTTGAATTAACGAGGTAAAAAAAAAACAATAATTTACAGTAATAACCAATCAATTTTACACTCCAAGGTGATAGATCTAAACTAAGTTCAGTAGCAAGTTATACTCTTTCTAAAAAAAGGACAGAATAAACAATGAGAAAAATGAACTGTTTATTTCAGTAAACAATAAATTATGGTGTGTAGGAACAGTTGACTGGCGCTACTGGATAAGTAATTCGAAAGAGATGGTCATGTAAGCCTTCAAATGCCTAGTACAGTCGAGGGTGGGGAGAGTCCTCTCTACTTCTCCAAGTGTCCTCACATGGCCACGTGTATACAGCCACTGTCAGGGAAGTCCTATTATACCTTTTCGAAGGGAGGGTGACGTCTACAAAATTGAGAGGGCGGAAATCAAATGTTCAGTGGTTTAACTGCGTTGGCGGACACCGAGGATCTACCTGGGGGAGTTGTGAAACATTGATTCCAAACCAATGGTGCACATGGGCTCCAGGATCCTGAGGAAGCGAAAGGAGAATGAATCTATTGTTGGTCACTGGATACCATGGACTGCATTTCATAACGTTGCTCCACTGCTTTTTGGATTAGACCTTTAGGTCGAAAGCTCTGGGTGTGACCCCTTAAGGAAACCACCTGCTCCAATCTGAGCACCCAGGTAGTATCACAGCCCACATACAAATCAAATAAAATAACAATTACTACAGGAAATACTATTCTTGCTTCAATTAAAAATCAGACAATTCGCATTCATTTGAAAACACTAATTTTTATTTTTCCTATGTAAAACGTCACTTATCTGCTCTCTTCTATTCTCAGTTTATGCATTCTTATTTTTCAACTTATAAGGCTGATCGCCTATGGTGGAAACTCTGTTCTATCTAAACTATCTCAAGTCACTGACTGGTCGAAAGTTGAATGCTACAGCTGAATGCGAATACTGAAACAGTCCTTCTGAAACCTCGTATACAATCCAAACTGGCCTTCAATGTTCTCCCACAAATGCAGATCGGACAACAGACAGGGTTGGCTATGTCTTTAGAAAGTCCCAACATCGATGCCTGTTGTCTATTCAAGACCCGTACTCAAGACTTTAGTGAAGTACCACAAATTCGTTCTTCATCTGTCGCCTAAAAACGTTTGTTTCACATGCATATATCAGGGGACCCTGTGACATCGTCTCGTTTTTTTTGGCCTTGGTGTAGCACTAAGCGCTAAAGCTGAGGTACTCGGTTATGTGCTGTTAGATTAGAAAGATCCACCAAAGTGAGAAGGAATTGGTGTTAGAAACGATGTCTTTTCGTCATCTCCGCCTACGCTTCGACAAGTTGCAGTCCGGATGCGATCAAGGATGAGTTGTACCACCAGTTAACTGTTCTCCAGAAAGTACGTTCGACAGATATTGTAGTACTAGCTGGAGAGTTGAATGCTCAGGTCGGGGCGTCTAGGTGCAGAGAGAAGTCGTTTGGGTGGCAGACGAAAATCTTTTAGTGGCAGGTCAGGTAATGGTGGCCATCTACTGCAACTTAGTGCGGACCACAACCTGTTTCTGGCTAGAAATTGCTACCGGCACAGTCATCGCCTGTGCGCTACTTGGCATCCTCCGTCTGCATCTCAAACCTGGAGTCAAATTGATCATATCGTGATCAGCTACCGCTAGCATGGTTGTGTACAAAACTGCAGCTCCTTTTGGAGTATCTATCTGGACTCTGACGATGCCTTTGTTTCCACGAGTTTGAGCCCAAACGAAGATTGTTATGTAACAAAATTGGGTAAACCTTACGTAACGATCGAGCAGCCTGGTGGTCGGAGCATGTTAATGAGATGGAAGCAGCAGCTGCGTTCGGTAACTTCCGGAAGCTCTTCCAACTCATCCGAGCCACTGGCAGAAAGAAGTCTGGTTTGAGCGAAACAATCTGCGAAGATGACGGGATGTCAGTCACTAACATCTATCGACGTCCTGGGTGATGGGCAGAGTTTTTCGAGCAGCGATTCAACTGGTCTACTGCCCTGGCAACATCGGTCAGACAGTCCCGACCCCATGGTCTGTTACGACCGATCCACCTAACGAGGCGGAACTCCATAAGGAACCCCAATTCCTGAAGCGTTACAAATCACCAGGCGCAAATGACTTGCATCCGACCCTTTTTAAAGATGGTGGTGACTTTCCGGTTAAGGAACTGACTGAGTTGCTAACAAAAGTTTAAGAGCTAGCGAGTGTTCCAACATCATGGAACGAGTGGAAAGTTGTACCCATGTTTAAAAAAGGTTCGTGTCGTTTCTGTAACAACTATCGGGGGATAAGTCTACTTACGACTGAGTCCAAACTGTTGGCTTCCATCATACTTCGTCGATTGTTCAAAATCCGAGAAAGATCGACTCGCCAGGAACAAGCTGGCTTTCGTTCTGGTCGAGGATGTATTGATCATATCTTCACCCTCCGCCTAATGTTAGAACACCGTCATACTTATCAAAGGCCAACAATCGTAGTGTTTCTTGATATCAGGGCTGCCTTCGATTCGTTGGACAGAACTGTTCTCTGGGATTGTCTATTGAAGAAGGGTGTGCCTGAGAAGTTTATTAACATCCTAAAAGTGCTATATACAAACACAGGCAAAGTGAGGGCATACAACCACCTTGCTCCACTATTCTATTCGAGCAGTGGGGTTAGGCAGGGTTGCCCAATCTCACCATTCCTCTTCAACTTTGCCATCGATGACATTATGGAAACAGCTGTGATGGATGCAAGTAATGGTGGTGTGGATCTGTTGCCTGGAGAAAGACTTCTCGACCTTGAGTACGCGGATGATATTGTCTTACTGTGCGAGAATGCCCAAGCTATGCAATCCGCACTTAATCAGTTGGCAATCAGTGTCCGTAGGTATGGTATGTGCTTTGCACCTTCGAAGTGCAAAGTACTTCTACAAGATTGGCAGGATTCTAATCCTGTACTCACTCTGGATGGTAAGCAGATAGAAGTAGTCGAGAAGTTCATGTATCTGGGTAGCTGCATAAGTGCTGGTGGTTGCGTGAGTGATGAGATCAATGCACGTATAGTGAAAGCCAGAGCGGCTTATGCCAATCTGGGCCATCTTTGGCGCCTTCGTGATGTCAGTCTGGCTGTAAAAGGTCGGATCTACAACGCGTGGGTGAGAGCAGTTTTGCTCTATGCTTGTGAAACCTGGCCTCTCCGAGTTGAGGATGTTAGACGACTCTCTGTGTTTGATCATCGTTGTCTCCGAAGGATTGCTGACATTCAGTGGCAACACCATGTTAGTAATGCAGAGGTTCGGCATCGTGTGTTCGGGCACATAGACGACAATCGAATTGGTGTCACCAACTTGAATCATCGACTTCGGTGGCTTGTGTATTATTTGCTCATGATGGGACCGGCTGTAAAAGCGTACAGTTGGTTAGTGTATGACATGGTGTCGTGTTATGAAAGCAAGCTGTACATGACTGGCTTCTGTTGGTCATTCATGACTCCCTTATTGTGTTCCTAGAGATGGTTCAACACAGTGGCTTGAGACGGTATCAGACATGGCTCAGAATAGAAGCCAGTGGCGATACTGTTGTAACAGTTTTTTTTACTTTCTTCATTAAAAATTAATGGACGTAACTTCTTTAACTGGAAGAATTCTTTCTGGTTGTACTTTTGCTAGCTGAACTGCCTATCCCATTATTTCACTTTCATACTCTAATTTCTGTTCGTTATTGTTCCCCTTTTTCTTATACGCACTTTACATTCTCCATCTCTTCACATTCTTATCGTTATTGTGTGGCGCATATGTATTTGATTCCCCTTTGTATCAATACTTATGTGTTCAAATAAATATAAGTAATTGAAATCATGAATCAATTGAAGCTAGACCACCATGGAAAACCTGGAAGCACTGGACGGCCGTTTCGTCCTAGTATGGGATCCCTCAGCAGTGCGCATCCACGACCCCGCCCCCCGCGGAATTCGAACCCAGGACCTATCAGTCTCGCGCGAAACGGCCGTCCAGTTCTTCCAGGTTTTCCATGGTGGTCTAGCTTCAATTGATTCATGATTTCAACTATTGAAATGACCAATTCTCCACAAAACCCATTCTAGTAAATATAAATAAATAAATAAGCTTGGAAATACATTTTGAAAACACAAATGATATAGACGAATAAGTGGTTATAGATCATAAGTTATTCAATGTTTAGAACAAGATGGAGAAATAATACAATCTCATCACTTCTAACTGCTCTATCCTAATCTCATCTAACATCTCAAACCACTCACTACTAGTATTACATGAGTTTTAACCACATAGCAACATTAATGAAACTAGAAATGATTAACGTCTCAGAACGATCCGAAATCTTAATTTGCCTATCCTTAGTATTATACCAAACCAATCAAATTGCTAACATTATTTATTCGACCCGCCTAATAAATGTGTCCTAACCACTTCAATCGATATAGGTTTATATCCTAACCAATATACTTACCGTTTTTTTCTAGTATCCTATACCTAATCTAAACTAGTATACTGTACTATAATTTTAGATGGATTAATAATAGACAACAGAAACCAGGTAAAATTGATGGTAAAATTGACTGTGATTGATATTCAATTAACTAATCTTGAACAAATTTCTTTAAACTTGATATATATACAGATGTTAACCGAAATCTCAGTACTACTCAGGAGGTTTGCTTATATAACTGAATAATTAACTCACTATCCTTATGTTTGTGTGTATTAATTTGAATTAAACATCATTTATAACCAAAAAGGAAGTTAGTTTACTTAATAAGTAGAAAAATATCTTGGATTATCGAATAGTTCTTCATTATATCTAATTTAACTTCGCCTGTAGCTCTTCCAGGGTTAATGCCGGTCCCAAGCCCAAGTAAAGGAGGAGGGTAGGGCATGGGGTTAGCGTCCCCATCCCGTAGAAAACTAACTGGCTAAAAGAAACGCTAACCAGAAATAATAATTCAAACCATTTAAACTCTGCCCTGGGAGTTAGAAAGTATTCATTTAGAAGAAATATGATGCTTCATGGTGAAAGCCGAGTAAGTATATTTGATTTTATTACCACTGCGAAAAAAAAATCGGAAGCAACTGAAATCACTAACCAATATTAGACCTAATTATTTATTTATTTATTTTAACACATAGATATTGGTACAAGGAGGCACCGAATATATCTGCGCCACACAAATCTCATTGGATATGTGTGAAGGCTGTGATACTGCATGGTTGCCCAAACCGAAGCAGGTGGTTTACTTAGGGGACCACAACAAGAGACTTTGACCTGAATGTCTGATCCACAAGGCAGTGGAGCATCGTAAAGAGATGCAATCCCATGGTAGCCGGTGACAAACGATTGGTTCATACGCCATTTGTTCCCTCAGGCAGGATACTGGAGTCCATGTGCACCATTGGTTCGGGATCCGGTTAAAGCGCCGGATATTCGTTATTCGTCCTCTCATTTCTGTAAACAACACCCGTGGTGCGAGAAGGCAGTCAGTAGGACTTCCCTGACAGAAGCTGTATACGCGTTTATGTATAACAATTACAGCTTTTTCTATTCATAACACATCATAATTCACAATAGAGTTATTTTATTTCAAAAACAATATTTAAATAAATCACTAAAAAGACTTACATGACTTAGAAAGTTATAAAACAACCTACCACCAAAGTCATCTACAATTGGATTGATTTGATGACAACTTAGACCATTACGATTCAAGTATGAACTGTTAAATGATTTTATAAAAGTTGCTATCTGACTACTTATCATTATCATATAAGCAGTAATAGTTACACGTTCCTGAAAAAAAAAACAAGATACACTACAATAAAATCTTTCAGTTGATACCAACGTTCCTGTCGAGGACGATAGATCCCCCAAAAAACCTCACATTTTGTAATTTTGTCTTATCGATTAAATGTTTAAATATTTGAATGGCAATCGATTGACGAATTTATTGATGAAATGTTCAAAAATTTCCATGACCAATATCGATTATATATACATTTGTATAAATACGCTTGGTTTGTGTGCTTGATTGACCTGATATCTGCTGGTTGCCTGTAGAATATACTTTCTACGTCTTACCAAGACTTCTTGATCGAGTTAGTTGAGTTGGGGACAACGGACCTGAATAGCCTGTTGAGTCTTTGAATCCTTGATTCTTCGTTCCTTTCCGAGTAAGACGAATCAGTAGTAGCATTTTAGCTTAACGAACCAAACAATTTGGCGATGGGGATGAGGTTTCCCCGCGTGGGTTCGAATCCCATCCCAGTCGCCAATTGTTATATATATTGGGACCGCCGATTAGAGGGAAGTGAATTTTGATCGGACCAAGGACGCGTAAAACACGTGAAAGCAGCCTAGAGTTCTCATTGGTCCTGCTTCTCGCCTAGCCCAGTCAGTTAAGTCCAGAACACCAATCTCAGCCTCTGCAATAGGAATCATTATATTTCGCACTTACTCAGTTTATTTACCAATCAAACAGACCACAACGTAGCATAAAATAGAAAATAGCATTTGTACAAGATTTGGCCAAATGTGGCTGTGAATGTGGGAGGCAGTGACTAATAAAACAGGGCATAATCCCAGAATGGTAAATGGTATAATAATAGTCTATAGGTTAAAATAAAGCTTATAATAAGATGAACATGAATATGAATAGTTTAGTTATTTAACCATTATATGATAAAAGTATAAGCATAGTATTGGTCCAAAAATAGATCCCAACAGTTACCAATCATTATTCTTGTCGGGACATAGCAGTTCCTAGCAAATTATTTTTTTTTTTGGTTTATATTTTTAATAAAATTTCAATTATTGAAGTGAATTACAAATTCTACTCAGTTAAACTATTTCACCCCAACATGAATAAAAGTGGTTAACTCATTTTCTATACTAGAAATAAAACTTAAGCGACTAATTTGTTAGATTTTTCATTTACTATTGATTATAATTTTGTGGTTCTTTAGTTTAAGTAAGCTATTCTCTTTTCGGAACTGATAGTTGTTTTCCCGAAATCTGTATCCAGAAACATCAGATACCTTTTAAGAATAGATAGGTTATAACAGACTGATAACCTGAAAAATATCACTATAAATTAAACAATGTTATTTGTTAATTAATATTACGAATGAACATCATTCAAGAAATCAAAGGTCAGCTGACTTGTTATATAATGTTAACGTATGATAGATACAATACGAAGTCCATCAAATCGAAATTTTATTTGGAATTTCTTTAAATAATATTCTGAAGAATAATAATAATAACAGATAATTCCCATTGAAATATTAAAAATTAAAAACACGAAGTTCAGCGAAAGGATCTCTTTTCAACGAATTTATTATCAAGATGTCAGTCAATCAGTAACAACGTAGCACTTCGTACGTACGTACGTGCGTACGTACATCAGTTCGAGTTCCCATACCACATTAGCACAGAGATTCAGTTATTGATTAAAATCCCATAGTGGTAGAGGTAGTGAAACTATAAGCAGTAATAGGGAACATTATGGTTTGATGTTATTCAAAGAGTATACTTCAGTGGAATAAATTTGGAAAGAAAATAAAGGATATGAAGAATTCAGAAGATCAGAGTTCCGGAGAACACAAAGAGTGAATGCACCTGCGCTGTACACTCGTATATATATATATATATATATATATATATATATATATATATATATATAAAACTTTTTTGTTTTTGTAATGTTAGATTTCTTAAAAACCTGTATAAGTAAAAGGGAAGAAAAACTAGACCTAGACCTTGATGTTAACAATATCCTATGAAAATTATAAAACATTACCAATTTAGGTATTATGGAGATTGTCAAGTTTTTCATTGAGATTATGAACCGATTAATCTTAGACCACCATTGAAAACCTATAAGCACTAGACGGCCGTTTCATCCTATTGTGAGACTCCTCAACAGTGCGCATCCACGATCCCGCTCAGGCGGTTGAGAGAAATTCTAATGCTTTTTAACTGGTCACTCTACCAAGCCTTGTAGGGTATGATCTTCTTAATAAATATATGATCTGAGAAACAAAATCTTATTTAAATCAACTGATATGATATAATTAATATGAACTAGCTGTTTTTCTGTAAAAATATGGTAAACGAATCATTCAGCGTGGATAATGTATTCATTTGTCGATTTACATAATTCTTATAGCTACCAATAAAGCCAACTTACAAACAAAAGTGCATATTCTAGTTATACATTAAAACATTGATCAGATAAACTTTAAATAAATTAGACCTTTTCTATTTTACAGATAAATTTAGGTAAATATTTATAATTGCTAGGTTTGAATCTGTCACGAGTTCACTTAATCTACGAACGAGAAACAAGACTCAATGACCAAAGACCAGTAAACTAGCTATTAATGCATCCCAGCTCAACTATCTAGAGGGAGAAGTCCAAGCTAGGAATGAGGAAGTATATACTGCAAGCAACCAGAAAACGATCGATCTCATCAAACACAATTTAAAAACGTATATATACAAATATATATGATCGATATTGCCATGGAGCTTTTAAATAATTAATCGATAATTTCGTCAATTGACTGCCATTGAAATATTTAAACATTTAATCGATAAATTCGTCAATCGACTATGTGCGTGGATGGTAAGAAATGCCCAAGCATACATCGGCATACAAGCTCCACAAAGATAAAATTACAAACTATGAGTTTTTGGGAATCTATCGTCCCCAACAATAATAAACTAGATATTTATTACAATCATTATATATATAAGGTTCCCATTGTGAAAAATAGAATACATGTAAGCGAACAATTGTTTTCAATTAGATCGTCGTTGACCAGTGATGTCTACTCAAACAAAGGATAAGCTACCTGAGTTGGCCTCTTCAATGTGCACTTACAAATTGAGCTGTTCCTGTGAAGATTTCTATATCCACCTCTTTCCGTTTGTGTTCTTCACTATCTAATTATGTACACACTCCTTATTACGTAATGGTTTTAATGTTTTGTGATGACTATTCTAAGTCTATTTACACACGATTGAACTTCTATTTCCAATGTTTAACTATTGATAAGAATTTTTGTTATCGTATTTTATTATTCTTACCTACTACTATCAGTACACCTGTCTTCCTACTATCAACTTGTACTTTTATCTATTATGTGTGATGACCCATTCTATTTCATTGTAATTACTGACCTAAATTGCCCTGATTGGTTTAACATTATCGTAATAAATAATCATGTATATTGGGGTAAAGCCTAATGACGGTCTAATGAAAAACAATAATGTTCGCTTATATGTATTGTTCTAATTTATAAGAATACTGGATACATGTTAAAATATTTTGCAATCCAATCAAAGGATCCAAACTCTTATTTTGCTGAATAGCTTAATAAGCATAAAAGGTAAACACAACATACAAATCAACTTTAAATGTTCATTTAACGAATATTCTCTATCAATTTATCATTTTTGTATATGGTATTAAATAGATTTGTGTTAATATATTGATACAGTTTAACACTTAGTTCACCTTAACATCAAAAATAACTGTAAAAACAAAAACAAAAACCACCATGGAAAACCTGGAAGCACTGGACGGTCGTTTCGTCGTATTATGGGACACCTCGGCAGTGCGCATCCACGACCTCGCCCCCTGCGATATTCGAACCCAGGACCTACTGGTTTCGCGCGTCAGCACTTAACCACAAGACCACTGAGCCAGCAGGCATCCAGCGATGTTAATGTCTAACTTCAACTAATCCACGAAATTGAGCGATACATTCACGAAACGGCCGTCCAGTGCTTCCAGGTTTTCCATGGTGGTCTAGCTTCAACTGACTCATGATCTTAATCATTGAAATTACTACAATCTCCACAAAACTACTTTTCACAAAAACAAAAACTTACAGGCAAACTATGCGTTTCTCCATGCAATGCAGATTTAATCAATAACTGAGTGCCCTTTTGCAATTCATGTTTTAACAGATCGTCAAAATTTAACACAGGAAATTGTCGAAAAAATCCCACTTTCATTTTGTCAACATTTGATGAAGCAATAAGATTTAATAGATCTCTAATAGGCACATCAGGAATTTCATTAAAAATCCAATAGTAGTTCTTTGTTATGTTAGATTTCTCCAAAACCTGTATAAGTAAACCGGAAAAAAAAAACTAGACCTAGGCCTTGATGTTAACAATATCCTATGAAAATTGTAAAACATTAGCCAGAGAAATTCTAATGCTCTTTAACTGGTCAGTCTACCATGTCTTGTAGGGTGTGGTCTTCTTCATGCATAGATATGAATTTACTTAATAAAGGGTTCGAACTTTTAACCAAATAAAAACAATCAATAGAAACCTCTACATAACGACATCATGAAAATTCATGTGGAAAATCTAATATTAAATTGTATCCAAGATTCCCAAAATGGATCTATTTGTGTCCCAATAACATAATTCAGAATCGATAAATGGATACTAGTCTTGCAATATCAGACAGACCATCGAATCTTCAGCGATAGACAAATTTTCTTGATTAAATGCTTTATATGACCATCATTTCAAATGATTTCATGCCATATTTTGTATTTTAAAGTTAAAACCAATCAAAAGAGATTGCTGCTCTTCGGTCACATGGCATTTTAGTCACTCATGAAAAATCTATCCGTTAAGAGACAAAAATTTCTTTCATTCAGAAGCTACTCTAAAAATGACAGACGAAATTTAGTTATGACTAACTAGTTATTTTGCAAGAGTAATTTATAAAGTAGATGACTTTATGTCAAACTATACAAAATCGTTTCTTATATTCATGTTATTATCATGTTTTTATTCCTGCCAACAGCCGAATACAATAAATCATCACCTAGTAACCTGGAATATAACTTCAGACATCAAAGATTTCCAAGAACAATATTACAAGCATTATTATTATAAAATGAATGTCGTCGAGAATTAACAGTTATTATTTTTATTTTAACACATAGATATTGATACAAGGGGGCACCAAATACATATGCGCCACACAAACCCCAATTGATATGTGTGAGGGCTGTGATAATGCACGGGCGCCCAAACCGAACAAGGTGGTTTTCTTAGAAGTCCACATCCCGAGCCTTCGACCTGAAGATTTGATCCACAAGGCAGTGGAGCATCGTAAGGAGATGCAGTCACATGGTAGTCGGTGACCAACGGTTGGCTCATACGCCATTTATTCTTTCAGGATACTGGAGCTCATGTGCACCATTGGTTTGAGATCCGGTTAAAGCGCCAGACATTCGCTTTTCGTCCTCTCATTTTTGTAAACAACAGTAATGCCACGAGAAGGTAATGAGTAGGACTTCCCTGACAGAGGCTATATATGCGTGACCATGTGAGAGCATTTCGAGAAGGAGAGTGGACTCTCCCCACTCTCCGCCGTACCAGGGCATTTGGGGGCATGTATATGAATAGTTCAGTTATGTAACAATTATACGACAAAAAATATACGTTTAGTACTGGTCCACAAATGGATTCCAACAGTTACCATTCATTATTCTTGTCGGGACACTTTATCATAAGCTTAAAGAAAATACGTTTTTGATTGGTCATAAGGCAAAGGGACAGAGGATCAAAATATGACTATATTTATTGTTAAAATTAGCTTCTAGTTTCTTTGCTTTATAGTTTAGCTATGAGAATACAACTTTATAATCTGTATTTACTTACTTTTCTAAAGTAATCTAAATGATGATAAGGTTTTGTATGAATTAGAAATATATGCGTTAAATAAGATTTTGTTATGGTAATATTTGATTGAATTACCGCCAAACTTTCAATAAATTGATCTAATGTGATTTTATTAAATGAGTTATATGAATTTATACATTTGTTTAATGTAAATAATTGAGTTGAGAAATCTGTGTAAAATCTTTTATTATCAATTTTCCTTCTCAATGTAATGTCATATATGATTGGGATAATAGCTGAAGAATAAAATTTATGCACAGAAAGTTTATTACTTCAAAAAATTTTTTTCGATTAGTTGTGTTAATAATATGCATATAGAGATAATTGGAAGAATTCGAAGAAAGTTAGAGACGGTCAAACAAAAACGTGGTATCACTAACTTCTAGTCTTAGCCATGTTGGTAGGTGCAGACTACTTGGTTGTGGTCCGCGTGACTGTCGTAACCAATGGTTGGAGAGTCGTGGTGACATGGCTCAGAATCGATCACAATGGCGTCGGTGTATACACTCTCTGTCTTCCCTTAAACTATGAGATCAAAATCACTTCATAACTTTCTTTCTAGGAACCAATTTTATCTTCCTGTACTATCTCCTTATATGCAATCTTTCTTCTATATATTACCACCACTGAATTAACTACTTCTATGAATCCGGTGTTCAAATTGTTGTGCTAATGCGGTATGGCAACTTGGACCGATGCATATACGTGCCTGGTCCTACGTTGTAGCTGACTGACTGATATAGAAATTTCTTACTTCTCAAATACAATTATAAAAAATGTAATCATTTGCAAATCATACACCGAGTGAACTAGAGCATAAGCAAATAAGAATATAAAACAGTTTATGACGATAAAATACTAAAAGTTTATATAATTGAAATGTAACTAACCACTTTTGGAATAATCAAAAAATCAATATACAGAGCAACAACAATTTGTATACTCTAGTAATAATACAAATATATTAGCTTTCTTTTGTTAGGCACTTGATGAATACAGTTCTACTTGTTACGACAAGTAAAACTCTTTAAATTGATGATACAATCAGAAAAAAATCTAAGCCATGACTACTGGTATATTAAGTCATGATATATTAACATATAAACATATATATGACATGAAACACCGATTACTTTGACATTTTTAATGTTAAATTTATCCAAACAGATTTTAAAATGACACCCCGCTCCCCGCGGGATTCGAACCCAGGGTAGAAACAGGTGTCTACCTCAGTACAATGGAAGATGGTCGCTCAATTTCGTGGCTTGGTTGAGGTTAGACATTAACACCGTTGGATTCCGGCTGGGTCAGTGGTCCAGTACGTCAATCGTTCGCGCGCGAGACTGAAGGTCCTGGGTTCGAATCTTGCCGGCAGCGGGATCGTGGATGCGCACTGCTGAGGAGTTCCACAATAGAACGAAACGACCGTCCAATGCTTCCAGGTTTCCAATGGTGGTCTAACATCAACCGGTTCATGATCTTAATTAAAAAGATTAGTCTTGAGAATCTGATATCATATTTGCATGAATTTTCACCGTTTTAACACTTTTTTCAGCATACTAATTAAATTTTAAACTAAATGTCAGTGTACCTAACTGAGTAACTGACAAAGATTTAATTGTAAACAAGAAATGCTATTAATATGAAGAAAACATGTGTTATCCATCATTAATATATCGTTCGATTTTGTATCCAATTATCTTAGATAAATGTCTATAATTTCTAATAACAATAAGTAATTACTCGTAATAAATGGTATCATTATATGATTATTAACCAATTGATCATTTTATCAACGAGATAAGAAAAGACCATCAAGGTCGAAATTCAAAGAAATAATTCCTCATCGACACTTATTTTCATTATGAACAGATGACTTATAGCAGTACATGTATAGTGTTGACATCAAATAATTCACTACTAGATTGTAAAACATAAAGAATGAGACGTTTATTAACGAATAATACGTTTCAATTACGGAATTATTTTTAATACCATTAAATTACCTAAACTCAGTAATCATAGATGTTGTTAGAACACATCGGCAACATGACATATCAAGTTTATTTTCCATATAATGAACGGTCAGTTGTAGTGTAGTGAACAGAACACGAGTGAGAACAATCAATTATACTTGACAACAATTTACAGCAATAGTTAATAAAATCTAACAACTATATAGTGAATTGTTAATTTGCAAAATATTAATCCATCGTCACAAACTGTACTGTTCCTATTGCAAACATCAATCGATTGTCTGACATTTCATTGTTCATGTGTTTCCATACAAATTCCATTGTGTTCTCGCTATTTCTTTCTTGATCTTCCCACATCTTCTGGTGCCAGACATTACGTTTAAAACTTGCGTCATATACTACTTATTATATCAATATAAGTAGCGCGCACCACAGTAGTATTTTGTACATTTCGTCAGTATTCATTTTGATAAATATATTGTAAAAGTTGCTATTTTCAATTGGCTTGTTAGTAAATCCACTGACACATCGACGACTTTAGAACCTTCGTTTAATAATGACCAACCTAGTTTATTAATTTTATTGGAAAACGATGAATAAATTGTGTCTACATTTGCATGCAATGTATTCATGGCTTTTCCTCTCTGAATTAGATAAATTGAAAACATGAGAATAAATTTAGAAACCACGTTACCTGATACAATTCAAATAGGAACGAGGTTAAGGTATCATTAATGGTACTTCCAAAATGGTTTAAGTAATATATATATCAGAAGGGGTTTTGTGGAGATTGTAGTAATTTCAATGATTAAGATCATGAGTCAGTTGAAGCTAGACCAGCATGGAAAACCTGGAAGCACTGGACGAAACGGCCGTCCAGTGCTTCCAGGTTTTCCATGCTGGTCTAGCTTCAACTGACTCATGATCTTAATCATTGTAATGTATATATATATATATATATATATATATATATATATATATATATATATATATATATAGAGAGAGAGAGAGAGAGAGAGAGTAATAAAGTAACGTTATATGACTTGTGAGTAAAAATTAATATACCAGTAAGTCCATCGGCTAAGATAAGAGCATGTGAAGCTCGTTCCATTTCACTGATTTCCAAAAAAGCTTTGGCCATTCGAAAAGGATCTGTTTGAATCCATATAGTTGTTGTTTCTGTAACTTTTGTTGTCTGTTTCTCTTCGCATGCAGGTCTTGGTATAGCAACATGAGGTAGATGATAACGATATGCCTCACTTTCTAAATATTCAGCTATTGAACATGCTGTCAAACTCAGAACTAAATGTACACCATGGTTTATGAAGTTGCACACTAGAAGATAAAAAAAAAAAAAAATGAATGAACCGTTTTTTATTCACTTCTACATGTATGTAATTGAACTGAATGATTTAACTAATAACTTATTATTGCAAAGAAAAGAACAATATGTGTTTACAAAACTTTTTAACACATATTTTATATTTTTTAATAAAATTGCTGGTTCAAACAAACTAGTATTGGGGTAAAACAAAGACTTTCTCTTTCTCCCGCCAATATTTTGTTGAGGAGCTTCTCACAAGTTACAATTTGTAGTATTGTTGAAAGACATAATAAAATACTTGTCAAAGAGTAAACAAATCTGATTTAATCTTTAATTATTTTAAGAAATTTATACGAATATTCGTCAAGATTAGAACGAATAGTTTAACAGATATTGGGCGCCGAGTATAAAGAAGTCATTATAAATTATATTTGAAATAATCTCAGCGATTGAAATATTTCTCGTTTTGAAGGAATACGTTATAAATGTACCCGGTAATTCATAGAAATGTATTCACTGAAAAAAAAAAAAAATCTACTTTATGTACAATTCACTGGCTCTAAAATATCATATGGTGATTCTAAGTTTAATTTCTAAATCAGAATATGAGCCAATAAAACTTCCAAGAAATAATAATAATATGGGTTCCAGTCTTATGAAGCGATATTGTAGATGTGCACTGCTGAAGAGTTCAACAATCGAACAAAACGGTCGTTCAGTCTTTCCACGATTTCCATAATGATCTAGCTTCAATTGACTCATAATCTCAACTATTAAAATTACTATAATATCCATAAAAACCCTTCTGAAAATAATAATAATTTGTCTGTAATCGGAAATAGACTGTATGAGTGTTTTAACATATTAACATAACACCATGAATCTATTAAACATAAGCGTTCGTAATCAGTAATATGATTTCAACCATACTGTATCGGTTTTGTCTTCATTTGTTGTTCAACTACCCAATAAATTGAAAGAATAATCTCACTGAGTGAAGTAAATCATATAAGAGAGATTGAAACAGTGAAATCAAATGAGTTCAGAAACAAGTAACATTAGAGCATCGAAAGGGTCTTATGTTATAGAGGTGTTAAGTAATTCAACATTGGAAAATATCAAAGTTTTATTACAATTTCTTGATGTTTAGTCAGTTAGTCAGTCACCCACAACTTAGGACCAGGCATATATATACATCGATCCATGTTGCCATACCGCATTAGCACAACAAGATAAACACCGGATTCATAGAAGTAGTTAATTCAGTGGTGGTAATACCTAGGAGAAAGATTGCATATAAGGAGATAGTTCATATATGACAATTGTAAATAGTATTTAGAAGAGACATTGAACGATAATATGCAGGACTATTTTAATCAATTATGTGTAACAGTTTTATTTCTGTATTTTGGTCTATTCAATTCCTTAGAGATTAAGTTTCGGAATCATTTAAATTCGTTTTTCCATAACTACTAAAGTTAAATATTTAAATATAACAATGGTAATCACATCATATAACATAATTTATTTTAACACATAGATATTAGTACAAGAAGGCACCAAATACATATGCGCCACACGAATCTCATTCCATATGTGTGAGGGCTGTGATACTGCACGGGTGCCCAAACCGAACCAGGTAATCACATAATATAAACGTTTACTTTTATAGATTCTAATCATTTATTGTTGTAATAATTTAGAACGAGAAAAGTCAGCATTGGAATGAAAGTATAAACAGTTGATATGGTGAAACCTTTTTTCACTAAACTTTCAGTTCATTTAGTATCGCTTTTTACAAAATTCATACCTCGTTTTGCTGGCCTATTTTATGGATGCCCTAATAATAATGATAATAAATAATTAATAATAATGGTCAGCTGCAACGTAGGGAGGTTGATTATGAATACAGTGGTCTTGAGTGCTGCTAGAGGTATGAGGGCGTTTAACACTTCCCGGTTGCCCACACCGTGGAAGGGTTCGGCTTGAGGTGCCTGAAAAGGAAATTAGGTTAGAGGTGATCTTACTGACCTGAGAGTGTGACCGCAGTGACCAAGGGACAACTGCTTGAGGTCGGTCACACACGACCTTTTTATGAGTAATTTTTGTGTTAGCTCCGTACTTGTTGAGACCTTACCACCGGATACGGATATCCGTGGGATAAGGCGAGGTGTGCATTTTTAGGGTCGACCTTTTCTAACCCCACTGCAACACTCCATTTGGGAAGGCAGCATCGCTGTTATGCTGGTTGTGTGAAGGAAACACCTTACTGCTGTCACACTTCTGTACAATCAACAGTACAACTTCGCCTTCGGAACTTGGTTTTGTTGCTTTTAGTCTTACCGCTCTTCAACCGACCTGTCTGGCATGGTAGGCCCTTGAGGAACGGTTGTTCCAGCCAGTAGAGCTCAATTGCTTCATCACGATAGGCAAGCCCGACCACCACGTCAAGGTAGCAACAACGGTAGGGAATAATAATACTAATACTAATAATAATAGTAATAATAATAATAATAATAATAATAATAATAATAATATAGATCAGTTGATTTCAAATCAAGTTTTCAATGCATAAAACAATTTGTTAAACCTATATTGTTAGAGAGATAGATTTACTTTTGTATTCTATACACTCATTTTATATATAAATAAAGGTGAAATGATCTTTTCTTATTTAGAATAAACAAATATACAGGAACAATGTCGTACATTTTGTTAACAGTGAATTCAGTTACCCCTTGTAAGGCTAAAAATAAATAATGAAAGCATCAAATCGACAAGTATTTTCAGTCATTTTATCAATAACTAAACCTATTCTACATTGATTTGTGAATATGAGTCTATTATCTAATAATAACCAACTCTGATCATCACTTTTACATGTTAATTCAAGTTAACCGATAAAAGAGCACTGAGTTAATAGTAACTGAAGTCATACTATTTACTGTTTGATATACACACAGCTAGAAGACATTTAAATGAAGGAAAGAGGAAAAGACGAAGGCCAAAGAACACATTACGTCGGGAAACAGCAGCAGATATGAAAAGGATGAATAAGAACTGGAAAGAGCTTCAAAGGATTGTCTAGGACAGGGTTGGATGGAGAATGCTGGTGAGCGGCCTATGCTCCTTCACGAGGAGTAACAGACGAAAGTAAGTAAGTAAGAAAACATTTAAGTACATACATCCTAATTTGGAGAATATATCACCATAATACTGCAATAAACTAGTCGGATAAGAAATGACCGTTGTTAATCAGTAACACTAACGATTAAAATAATGCTGTTGAAGCATCATTGGATGACTAACAGTCAATTTTCACAAAGTGTGTACAGGATTGAATACCACTTATTACTGTGTTCTTTGCAAATAAACAAAAGTGATGATACGTAAGGTATATTTAATACATATTTACACAATAGAACTATATTGTAAACTTTTCACAAGTGTTACATATCTGTTCCTATGTTTAGAAACCTTCGATTTTCATTATGAGAAATTAAATTGTCTCTGTACGAAGTTAATCGACAAAATAAATAATTTTCATGGAAGAAAGTTAGAATTCAAATTTTAGTAAAGTAGTAGTCTTGTTCAGATGATGTCTAACTAGCTGATGTCATGCAGATTAATATAACTGACAAAGTAATAAGATTTAACAAGATGGTAAGTCACTGATTTTATATTCAGTTCACACATAACGAAAAGTTAAACAATAGTACTGTGGTGAGCGCTACTTATACTGATATAATAAGTAGTATATGACGCGTGTTTTAAACGTAATGTCTGGAAGCAGAAGATGGGGGAAGAGCGGGAACACAATGAAATTTGTATGGAAACTCATGAACAATGAAATCTGAGACAATCGATTGATGTTTGCAACAGGAACAGTACAGTTTGTGACGATGGATTAATATTTTACAAATTAACGATTTACTGTATGGTTGTTAGATTTTATTAACAAGTGCTGTAATTTGTTGTCAAGTACATTCGATTGTTCCCACTCGTGTTGTGTTCACTACAACGTCAATCATGAATGATGGTATTATAATGGATTCAGACTGTGATAATACTTAAGCGAATTTTCGAACGCTCCTAATCCTTTGTGATTTTATGAACAGGATCATATCTTTTAATTAACTATTCTTTTCTATTATTAAAGTATCATTCCCGCCAGATTATTGAGTAAACCTATTTCTCTAGAAAATCATTCATGGTTGTTTTCAACAACATATTACTATGTTTGTTTTATTTAAACATATAGATATTGGTACAAGGAGGCACCAAATACATATGCGCCACACAAATCTCATTTGATTTGTGCGAGGGCTGTGATACTGTACGGGTGTCCAAATCGAAGCAGGTGGTTTTCTTAGAGGGCCACACCCCTAGCCTTTGGCCTAAACGTCTGACCCACAAGACAGTGGAGTATCGTGAGAAGATGCAGTACAACAACAAGTTCATACGCCATTTGTTCTTTGACGATACTGGAGCCCCTGTGCACCATTGGTTTGGGATTCAGTTAAAGCGTCGGACATTCGCTTTTCGTCCTCTCATTTTCGTAAACAACACCCCCGCCACGAGAAGGCATTGAGTAGGACTTCTGTGGCAGAGGCTATATACGCGTGACCATGTGAGAGCATTTGGAGAGGGAGAGCGGACTCTCCCTACTCTCGGCCGTATCATAGCATTTCACTAAAACTAAACCGTTACCTAGATTGTAGAATCTTGTTCTTTCAATTAATTATTAACAAAGTGTTGGATCGGGCTTATCTTCTTCACAGGAAAAAAAGTGTATGATATCAAACAAACAAAAAAAATTGAATAGAAGATCAAGAACTAACTTGGGGAGAATATTTCAACTACATAATGGTATTTCTAGTCACCTTTTTTGTTTTGTTTTTGAACATAATTTCCATTTACACATTAATCAGTATGAAACAAATCTACTTACATTGGTTAATAAAGAACTTCTCAATAGTAAATTTGAATTTTTGAGATCTAGGTAAAGTAGAATTTCTTGTAGAAATATCAGCATAGTGTTCAAGTGTTGGTTTCAGTGCCAGGAACAAATCAGTTAGATTATAATTTACTTGATCGAATACATCATCATATATCACACCTTTAGAAATTAAAAAAAAAAAAGAAAGTTAGGTTATATTGATTAAGATTCTAAATTGTTTAAACATAAATGAACATGTCAAATTAATCCATCCAAAATAGAGTCTACTAGGCATTTACCGGTTGAACGACAGAAATCAAGCTAACTAAAATGATATTTCACTGGTTGAAATCATGAATCCATTGAAACTAGACACCACTATGGAAAACCTGGAAGCACTGGACGGCCGTTTCGTTCTAGTATGGGACTCCACAACAGTGCGCATTCACGATCCCTCTCCTTGCGCAACTTCGTGGATTGGATGAAGTTAGATATTAACACCGTTGGATGCCGGCCAGCTCAATGGTCTAGTTGGTTAAGCGCCTGGCGCAAGACTGATAGGTCCTGGGTTCGAATCTCGCGGAACGAGTGGGATCGTGGATGCGCACTGTTGAGGAGGAATCCCATATTAGGAAGAAACGGCCGTCCAGTGCTTCCAAGTTTTACATGGTGGTCTAGCTTCAATTGATTCATAATTTCAACCAGTGAAAGATAAAAATGACTGCACCTAAAAGATGTACTGATTTGTTAGAATCTAAATAAGAAGCTTTCAAGTGATCAGCTTGGTGAGTGAAGCAAAATTGTGAGAAAATACTTCACTAAAGTATTTTATGCATACTAAATTGTTATTAAATATCATTCACTTAGTCAAGTGAAACACCATTATGAATTAGAACAACATAGATATATAAGCGAACAATATTGTTTTCGACTAGATCCTCATCAGGCTTTACTCTAATATACAGTAATGTATTTATATGTATATACAAAATGAATTAAACCAATCAAGGTAGTTTATGAGTGAAGGATAACAGTGTAATAGATTACATAATAAGTAAGAAGAGGTTCAAATTGATAGTGATAACAGTTGTACTAGTTGTGATAAGAATAATAATGGCTTGTATCCATGTTTAATAATGGGAATTAGGACAATGATTTAAAAAATATAGATGCTGAGATAACTATAAGATTATGTAATAAGAAGTGTTCAGATAATTGGACAGTAAAGCGTATATTTTGAAGAAAATAAATGGGAGGGCAAAATCACCTATTAGGACCAGGGGGGAGAGATAAAGGTGTTACAAATTTCTTATGAATAAAAAGACTTGATTTGTTGACTAGAATTCCTATGGCTTCTGCTATGTGTAACATACGAAATTGAACATCATAAGGAAATCTAGTAGGAATATGATAAATCACTTGAAATGACCTATTTCCATCTACTACATAACTGTTATCGATCGATTGTGATAGAACTGATTCACGTATTGTTTTGATAATACCCTATTCTAATAACTAAGGTGGTTGTTCACTCATTCGTTAGCCCAGTTGTCTGGTGGTGCGCCCAACATAGCTTTTACGACAATACCATCTGAATTCGTAGATACACATAGATGTGATAGAACCAGATGAACTATCCTTCAGTTGAGGAATCACGATATATTAGAGTACACGTGATAAGGACCTAATCGAAAGTAATATTGTTCGCATATATATGGTGTTCTAAAAAAACTATTACTATATTGAATTGATTTGAATAAACTATTTAATTTATTAGTTTTATTTTCGGTGTTATTTATTGATTGACATACAGTTGTACTAGAAATATTAATTCATGAGTAGAGATTGCCAAAAAGAAGGAAATCTTAAGTTTTATAGACAGTACCAGTTAATCAGGATTCTAGTGACTGAAATAACTTACACTTGAAACTTTCCCATGGTCTCCAAAGTATAGATTGACTTTTATATTCAAATTATTAATGTAATTATGATTTCTCATTGAGAAGTTGTTATTTGTCAGTTTAAAACATACCTGAATAAATGGAACTGAATTGATTATTTTGAGAAGCATAAAAAATCTCCACAACCCCAATAATGATAATTAACATGTGCTCACTAGTGACTAGCTTCGTGAGGGAATTCTCGGAGTTCTAGTGAGAAGCCGTTACCAGTGGTGCTAATCTGTGTTGGGTAGAGACAGGTATCTATCTCAGTACAATAGAAGATGGTCGCGCAATTTCGTGGATTGGTTGGTGTTAGACAATAACATCATTGGATGCCGCCTCAGTGGTCGAGTACGTTAAGCGTTCGCGCGCGAGACTGAAGGCCCTGGGTTCGAATCTCACGGGGAGCGGGATCGTGGATGCGCACTGCTAAAGAGGAGTCCTATACTAGGACGAAACGGCCGTCCAGTGCTTCCAAGTTTCCAACGGTGGTCTAACATCAGTCGATTCATGATCTCGATCAAAAACTTAATAATCTCCACAACCCCAATAATGACAAAAAATATTTCCGGGACAAAAATGTTCACCAAAAGCCTGTTACTATGAAATATCTTTCTAAACAAGATGATAGATGTATATTGTGTTCAATTTTGCCATAAATTGTCACATTATAAAGACTATGAATGGAGTAATTTTTAACTAAGTATTTCATCTTTACTATTCTTATGAGCATAAAATTTATTAACACGTTTATATTCAAGTAGTATAGTAACTGTAACACTGTGATGGAAATGTGTTTAGTGTAGACACATTACCAAATATCGACGTAGAAGCGTAAAAATCAACACTGGATCATTAAATGGTGGTCATAAGTAAAGTATAAAATTTTCGATTGAGATCATGAATAGACTGATGTTAGACCACCGTTGGAAACTTGGAAGCACTGGATGGCCGTTTCGTCCTAGTATAGGACTCCTCTTTAGCAGTGCGAATCCACGATCCCGCTCCCCGCAGGATTCGAACTGAAGGCCTTCAGCCACGCGCGCAAACGCTTAACCGACTGGACCAATGAACCGGCATATAATGATGTTAGTGTCTAACATCAACCAATCCACGAAATTGCGCGACCATCTTCCATTGTACTGAGGTAGATTAGCTGAAAGTTAAATAATTAATTATTGATCCAACACAAATTCACCGTATAACATATCAAGTTTTATTATATATATCAACTATGTATCCGGTGTTAGAAGATGAATGAATGTTTTCTTCATAGTATATCTCATCATATAGTTTTTTTTTTGATAATGATCCTTCAAAAAACTGTTCAGTTTAATTGTACAAACACAAAGGTGAACAATCATTATACAGATAGAATGGAATATCAGAATATATTGTCTGTACTACAATGATTACTTAGACTTTTATTAGCTTATTATGCACGCAACAAATATGGATAATTAAAATAAGTTGTACATAGTCATCTAATCCATGTATTGTTTTGAATAAGTAGGCGGTCAACAATGAAAGGTTAAATTTTATTAAATGACCGAAATTACAGGTAGTTAGTTTCTACCACCTACGACTCAGTATATAGTTGATAAAGTGAAGCATAAAGATAACGAGGAATTATTTATTTATTTATTTGAACACATAAATATTGGTACGGGGGGGGGCACCAAATATATATTCGCCACACAAAACAATGAGAATTTAAGAAGGCGGAATAAGGTCATTATATTTGTGTGTGGATTGTGATACTGCCCCGGTGCCCAGACCGAAACAGGTAACGAGGAATTATAATTAAAATAATATTATTTTATAGATGAAATGTAACAAATAATAAATCTAGTGAAATTATACACACTAATAAGTCTTGGAGGTGCTAGCTGATAGCTGGTAGTTTAATAACTTACCAATATGCCATTCGTTTTCAGAACAGACAGTAACTAATAAAGCAAGAAGAAAGTTGGAAAATGATGAAACCGGTGACATTTCAATACATTCACAGAGTTTCCTGTTTGTAGTCAGCTCCAATGAAGGGTCTTCTTTTTTTGTAGACCTTTCTCGGAGGTATATATATATACATAAAATTTAGAGGATAAATTATGTCACTTTATTTATGAGTTGATATTTAGATCAGTAAATTTATTACATTGGGTAGAAATAACATTAGCAGTAATTTTGCAGATTTCTTGTTATAGAATTACTATGGTTACTAAAACAGAAATAAGTCACTACAGAAAAACATCAAAATTTATATTAGCAATTATGTCAACTTCATTTTAAGCAGACCTAGAGGCTTTTATGGTAAAAAGTTGGTATGGAAACGAATCACTGGTCATCGTCAAGTTTCTTAATTTAACATAGGACAAATAATAAATTATGATTATTCGCCTCTAATGTATAATTATAAATTGACGAGATTTAATCATTCAGTTTGAATTGGGCGAAATGAGGCAACAGTTGACGTTCTTATGTCCGATAAAAAAAATTATAAATTCTATCGAAAAATGAGGAAACAAAATTTTTTTGAATAAGATGATATCCTGTGATCAGTGCCCCCAATTGCCCCGGTACGGCCGAGAGTGGGGAGAGTCCGCTTTCCCTCTCCAAATGCTCTCACATGGCCACGTGTATATAGTCTCTGCCAGGGAAGTCCTACTCACTGCCTTCTCGTGGCATTACTGTTGTTTACGAAAATGAGAGGACGAAAAGCGAATGTCCGGCGCTTTAACCGGATCTCAAACCAATGGTGCACATGGACTCCAGTATCCTGAAGGAACAAATGGCGTATGAACCAATCGTTGGTCACCGGATACCATGGGACTGAATTTCCTTACGATGCTCCACTGCCTTGTGGATCAGACCTTTAGGTCGTAGGCCCAAGGTTTGGCCTCCTAAGTAATCCACCTGCTTCGGTTTGGGCACCCTGGCAGTATCAAAGCCCACACACATATCCAATGAGATCTGTGTGACGCATATGTATTCGGTGCCTCCTTGTACCGATATGTGTTAAAATAAATAAATAAGATGACAACACGTTCAGGGATAACATGTTCTTAAACTAAAGTATTGGAAGCAAGATTTTGGTAATATTCAATTTTTTTTTTAGAGAATTCTGTTAACTCTGGAACAGATATACAAAGCGATACAGAATAGAAATAATCAACACCTAAAATCCCTACTGTCAGTCAGTCACAATGTAGAACATAAACGTATGTACATCGGTTCAAGTTAACGTACCCCATTAGCACAGCGAGATGAAGTCGTCAGGCCAAATCCCAAAGTAGTACAAGTAGCACACTATCAGTCGTAATAGGAGAGATTAAACATCGAAGATACAACTCGTAAAAATATAAATTAGTGGAATAAGAATAAAAAAAGTCATGAGGGATTTAGAATCACAGGATTTTGAGAACGACAAAGAATGAATGAACGTGTGCCATTTCAAACAAAATCTCTAATCATTGGTTACGATAATCACGCGAACCCCATCCAGGCAGTCTACACCTATTAATATAGCTAAGCTGAATTGTCAGCGACTGCATAGACTGATGCCATGTTTCCGTCTGGCTGTCTCTAGCTTTCTTCCAGTCTGCTCCTGGACCCATTTTTACCTAGCGTTTAATTCCCAACCCAGACACTGCTTACTCCAAGGTCCCAAATACACGAGCAACGCTTCAAAGAAACCTATGACCGAATACTAGTAACCTACGAACATCCCATATTCTTAAAGGCCATGTTTCACATCCATAAATTAGGATGGAGAAATCTGCTGCGCGGTGAACTCGCCCTTTGGTTGGAAGACTGATATCTAGCCTACACCACAAGTGACGTATTGTGACAAGAACACTGAATTTAAGCTATATGAGAATGAAAACCAAGATCCCTTAATCATAAAAATTCTATTCATTTAAAGTAATATAAGCTAATTGTCAGTTTCTGACTATTAAGTCACATCAGTTACACCTGAATTACTGTAAGATGTTGACTGTATTGTATATATAATCTCTCTACAACAAAGTTCATTGATGCCGACAGTGAAGAGTGACGACTATGGTTGAAACACTATATACGACCAAAAGACAACCTGAGTTGTGTATGAATAGTTGGAACTAATCCTATTAGCGTTTGAAATGCAGTAGCTGTGAGCATGACTTAAAATCTACCCTAATAGTGCAAACACCTTAACTATTTATTTGCCCTGAACCCTGAAAATAATAATCAGTCAGTCAGTCAGTAACAACGTGGAACTTCGTACGTACGTACATCAGTTCCAGTTGCCATACCACATTAGCACAGAGATTCAGATATCGATTCAAATCCCGTAGTGGTAGAGGTAGTGATAAGAAACACTAGGGTATCATGATGTTTTTCAAGGAGTATAATCCAGTGGAATACATTTGGAAAGAAAATAAAGGGATACGAAGAATTCAGAAGATTAGAATTTGAGAGAACACAAAGAGTGGATGCACCTGCGCCATTGCAAACGATTTTGAGCCATGTCATTCAAGGTCTCTAACCATCGGTTGCTATCATCTCGCGGTCCCCAACCAGGTAGTCTACACCTACCAATATGGCTCAGTCCACTTGTCAGTGACTTGATGGATTTCTGCCATGTTTTGATCTGGCCGCTCCTAGCTTTCTTCCAACCTATTCCTACATCAGAAAATAATAAATCATATTCTCAATATGACCATTTGCTTATGGTTTATTTTTATATTATATTCCTCTTATTTTTCGCTGTTTCGAAATGTAGAGAACTACGGAATCAAGTTTCCGTATTTCTCAGATTAATTGTACTTACTATAAAACATATTTACATAAAAACATTAGGTCATTTCATAATGACTTTACAAGCATATATATCAAGCACCCTGAAAAAGTGACTTGAAATCAATATCTCTATTTGTTAAGTCGTATTTTATTTACACTGCAGATATATTAATTGTTCGGCTAATTTTTGACATGACATTAAACGAAATAAAAGATGAAGTGATACTCTTGGTACGTATTTCAGTATTGTAGAGAGGAAACGCACGCATTCTGATAAGAAAACAAATCTGTAAATAAATGAATACTTCATGATGTACACTTCTGAAAATTACATAAAATGGATGAATACTAAGTATAAAATAACAGAATAGAAGTAATCAAATAGTTATATAAACTGGATGTGTACATGCAAAATATTTAGATTTAAAAAAAAAAAAAAAAATGACAGTATTACATATTGCAATAGCTCTGAAGGGAAATAAAGATCAAAACGCCAGTAATGTAAATGAATTAATACCAATAAAATATACATGCAGGACGCTAGTATAAACTGGAATGGATTGATGTACAAGGTTTATATCATATATATATATATATATATACAAACTGTACGAGGTTAATCAATAAAAAAATTATTTCAGTCACTTTAAAATAGGTCAACTTGAGGACATAATGACCATTGTTGCTATCGTCGCTTGCATAAGTAGTTACTCTATTTGAAATCCCATTGATGAGATTGTGAAATTAATCATTCAACACATTTGGAACGTCAGTATGAAGGTTTGACTCTTGTAATGATACTTTTTGTAGACGGTAAAGATATTGAGCCGCAGTTTTGGCACTCTCTAAATAAGTTTCTAAATCTATCTTATATTCTTTATGTTTTGCGCCGTCTAGAACAAAGGGGAATGAAGTTTTGTCATTCATTTTCTCCCAAGAAAATGTCGCATGTACTTCATTAGATGACTGAGATGAATTTAAAGGACCTCTGGGAGTAAAAACTTGGTTTGTTTCTTGATGTTTTGTGTATGAAGGAACTTTCTCGTCTTCCAAATAATCGCATTCTGTATTTATATTATTATGATTATATTTATGCAGTCGTTCAAAGTTGGTAACATGAGTTGTGATTACATCCAACTGAGCTTCCATAACACTTAGAGCATTTTCAAATGGTGTTAGGATACATTCATCTACGTTCAACAAGTTATCTTGAGTTTGCGCTAACTTTCTAAGTTGTTCAACGGAAAAATGAAAGGTCATGTTGCTTAAATTTGTTACATGGTTGGCAAGATCAGAAAATTCATTCAATGTAGAATGGTCATATATCTTGGCATTATTTTGATACACTGGACTAGTAGAAGAATTCATAGACTGATTATGGTTATCTGCCTCTAACCAGTCAATATCCAAAGAATTTAATCCAGACGTTGATGAGAGGTGTACAAATTCATTCGATGTGCCTGAAATTCGAGAAAAATAATAGTTTATTACTTAAGAAAATAAAAATCTAAAAATTAGTACGATTAGATGATGGTTGGAGGTAGTCAACAGGAAACCCTGGACCCGGGTTTCGTGCTACTTGGCACTCGTCAGCAAGGTGTACCTGTAATCTTTGAGGGAACTGGTACTCCCTGGCGGATTCGATCCCGTGTCACCCAGCTTCATAGTCAGAGACGTTACCATCACCATTGAAAAGAATGTCTACAATAACAAAATTACCCTGAAAATTTCAGCATAAGTGGAATAACTGTTCCATAAATAATTACATAAAAATAAAAACATATTGATATACAAAATGGGTATTGTAGACCAATAGTGGTAAGCATAAAAGGATAAAAAGTATACTTACATGATGTAGGCAGAATATTAGATCCTTTTAGATCAGACTGTTGACTAACACAAGGTGTAACGAAATCATCATTTAAAGGACTATTCAATAAATCAGAAATGATTGAACGTGCACATTTTGGAATAGACAGATTAATAATATCTGATCCGACACCTGTTCCCAAATTAGTTGAAATTCTGTCACTTGATTCACTGATAACATACAAAAACAGATAAATATTAATTAATGAGTTATTTTTATTAAACAGCTTAAATGTTTAACATTGAATCTTTTCCATAATTACAAGAATGTTTCATTAAATTATTCTATGCTTTAGATAATTCATTATTTATTGAGAACAATCACTGTTAAATGATATTTCAAAATAGAAATTAGCCTTTACATTAAACTCTAAGTCAGGATGGAAACGTGTATTTGTCGATGACAATACATAGACCTGAAAGCTCGACTTGTGGTGGTCGGTGTTCGATATATTCCTTAAACTCCGTATACAGTACGTCTCGGTAACCGTCACCAAATAATGCTCCAACGGTATATTAATCAGAAGGCGAATACGAAGCGTTAATTACGTTTATTAAGGGACCACACACAGATATCCAAAATTACAGATTCGTTAAGCAAGCATGAAATAGTTGTGCCGAAAGGCAAACAGGCAAGCGAGCGATCGATCGAGTCATGAATATGAATAACATGGACATATATATACATAGTGAAATGAATGAATCATCGACTCAATTAAGCGGTTAATAGTAAAGCTAGTAGCGTGAATAAATGCGTAAGCAGTAAGGCTTGCCGAGCATACATATTCATATAAGGATAACAATAATAAAGGTGCATACATTCGCAACAGTAATAAGGATACAATAAGTTATTATAGTGAAGGTGACTTTGTCCGTTTAATAAAGTTAATAAAAGGGCTTAACCGAATTAGGTGAGAGGAAACTCAATTGAATGTGAGTTGCTATAGTCTTTTAAAAAGCAATATTCAAATACTAAACAATATAGTTAGTCGGTTATCATCAATTTAGAATATTGCATGAACATGTAGATGTATAAATGAGCATAGCTAAAAATGAGATTAGCAAGATCAGAAGCGAATAAGAGTATTTAACTTTAATTAATAATTAAGCGAAAGAGAAAGATGCAGTTTTACAAGAATGAGATAGATGAAGAGTTATGGGTCACAAGTAATTCAATATTTATAGCAAGATAGAGAAATAATACAGTTCCATCATCCTAACTGCTCTACCCTAATCCCATTCAATATCTCACATCATTCACTACGAGTACTTCATAAGTCCTAATCATAGAATGTTCACATACCGATATTACTGAAACCAGAAGTGAGTGACATCGCAGAACGATCCCAAATCTTGATTTGTTCATCCTTACATTTACGGCAACCAACTCTCATGTCAACCAATATCACACATCCAGGTAGGTGGTGGTGGTTATGTATCCACAACACATAGATATAGACCTCATTCAATGTAATAACACTAAGTTATGATACACATTAACCATGATGTAAAGTACGTTACATTCATGATCACAGTATGGATATGCAAATGACAGAAACTAGGAGGTCAATAGAATTCTGCGATCTGACTTAATGGTTAAGCCTAATTAAGTTTAGGAGATCCACAGTAAAACGGTAAAAGCTCACATATGCTACAGACCGATTGTACCACGATTAAGAATAATTCATATATGTTTTTCGATAAAAAACATCCACATCTTTTCCAATGTCTCGATTAAAATCACACTAAGATAAAGTAACTTACTTGACTGAACTTCCACCATCGATATTGGATCTGTTGATTTTGACATCAACGAATGTTTGAATCATGGGCTTGTCAGGTGACGAGGTTGAAGGGATATTAGAATCACATGAAGGAAATTGCTGACCTGACTCTAAATGATTATTACATACAGTATTGGAAAAATATTTCAAAGGACTTAGAGTAGAATCTTCCGAAGCAGAAATATCAAGAATAGTACCTAGATCTTTATCAGATGTATTAGTAGTCCTAGGATGAGAACATAACAACTGCCAAGCAGTGTTCTCTCTACATAACTTATCATTATTCTGTGAAACGGGTGGCTGTTCTGGATAAGATTTGGGTACCTTTAAAAATTCATCTACAGAGCAGGAATCAGAAGTAACACTACTGACATTTATCACTCCATCAACATTAAAACCTGAAATTTCTGGAATGATATCGGGACCAAGATCTTGAAGAAATCCTGACAAATCTTGAGAGGCAATATGATAAGTAGGATCAGTAACTTGGTATGAAACAGATTCCGACTGAGCAGAACCGTTAATTGTTTCATCTAATGGCCAGTTGGTATTAGGACATTCAGAGTCCGGAGTGGAAATGCAAAAAGTATGATTATCGTTTGGTAGCTGTAAGTGATCACACTTAGACGCAGTGATTTCACCATTAGCTTCAGAAAGATTTCCAAACGCTATACCTCTTAATTCCATATAAAGACCTATAAAATAAAATGAAGAAACGAAATTCTTTATTTAGTAAAATTTTAAATAAAAACTGTCTATCAAGACCAAATAAGCAATTATTCATCATTATTGTTCTAAAATAAAGATAAAAAGTAACATAGTCGGAATTTTTAAATAGAAATCTCTAAACAATAATATATTTATTTTATTTTAACACATAGATATCGGTACAAGGAGGCACCGAATACATATGCGCCACACAGATCTCATTTGATTTGTATGAGGGCTGTGATACTACCCGGGTGCCCAAACAGAACCAGGTGGTTTTCTTAGAGGGCCACACCTTGAGCCTTTGACCTGAACGTCTGATTCACAAACCAGTGGAGCATCATGAGGAGATGCAGTCCCATGGTAGCCGATGACCAACCATTGGTTCATACGCCATTTATTCCTTCAGGCAGGATACTGGAGTCCATGTGCACCATTGGTTTGGGATCCGGTTAAAGCGCCGAACATTCGCCTTTCGTCCTCTCATTTTCGTAAACAACACCCCCGCCACGAGAAGGCAATGAGTACGACTTCCCTGTCAGAGGCTATATACGCGTGGCCATGTGATAGCATTTCGGGAGGGAGAGCGGACTCTCCCCACTCTCGGCCGTACCAGGGCGTTTGGGGCAAGACAAGAAACTAGGAACTTTTAATTTTAAATAGGTTATATATTTTAGCACATGCAAAGTAACAATTTTTATATAAAGAAAATCACTACCATGCCATAAGGCATCCTAATTCAATACAAACTCAGGGAAGCGAAAGAATAAACCTGTCTAGTCTTATAAAACAAATAACACTAGCTACTAAGTTTTATATAAGTATAATAGCCAAAACAAATCCAACGTTCACAGAGCTTAAGTGATTTGGCCTTAGAGAACTTCATCAACAACAATGATCATCGTTCATGAACTCGGATACGATTAATTTCAATACAAAAAAAACGTTTATCTCAGATACTACAAGTTATTTGAGATTATCTTCGAATGATAGATTTTAACTAGTGCTTAAATGATATAACTCAAATAGTATACGTTCATTAACTTAGAGCTAAAAGTAATCTGGAAGATTAAAGTGATTCTTTACGATAGAAAGAAGTGAACCAGATATAGAGCGTTCATTTATTGTTTGTATTTGCCTAAAATATATAAGAAAACAGAACAAGAAACTGGACGTAAAAGAGATGATTGTAAGCAGAAACAATGTGGTCGCTTGTTGAGTTTTAACATTTAAAAAAAAACAACAGTTAAAACCGTCTACAACAACTGTGAGACTATTTTTCTTTATTTCAAAGGTATGAATCCACCACGGTTAAATCAACAATGTTCTACATAGTGTCTGTTCTATATTTCCCAAAACAGAATCTAGATTGACAATAGGAACAATACCTGTGGATATAAATGCTGAACATAGAAGAACTGCCTGGTCTAAGGTACTTCGCTCGATATGTATTCGTATTAATCGACATATCATTTACGCCTTTTTTGAACCATCAATCATATCAGAATACAAAAAAGAGTAGCCACAAGTCATTTATAATTATACAGATGAACTATAAAAGAACATCGAATAAAATATCTCAGTAAACTACCATACTGAATGTCACGTTAACTGATCATTATTTCTGAAAGGTAGAAGATACGAAAAACACTACTGTTTCCACTATGCGTTTAGCGATAGATAGGAAGATGGACGTTTATCGTCTACTATTATTGAGTCATTTAACTTTATTTGTCTTTTGCAACCATTTTGGTACGTGTTTAGACACCCTAATTTGTGTAGCTACACACATTAGAATTAATGAACACAGTAGGATGTGATCCAATCATTTACATCCTGTTTAGATTTATGGGGAAGCATAGAGCTTGTTCTTTCAATGATAATGACTTTCGCTGCATAGCACGTCTTACTAAGAACTGATTTGAGCCTTTATTTCAACACAGGACTATTTAACTCATCTCCAAATGGTAGAATGATGTAGACAGGCTTTCTCGGTACCAAAAATGTAGTAGGTCTCACTATATTGTGACTTTACAATCGATTTGAGAATTTTATAGGATGACCATGCTCCATCAGTGTCTTGTTCAGTAACCTCATTTTGTCTTCAGTCGTACCGTCTGTACGAATACGATCAATCCTATTAAGTAGATCCTCAATCAAGCCTATATATATATATATATATATATATATATATATATATATATATATATATATATATATATATGTAACGGCATATTTGTGAACAAGGAATTCACATTGAAATAATACATTGTCTTTCCCTCGAAATTGATGTCACGTAAATAATCCATTCACTCAAAAGAATCCTTCAGAGAATAGTTACATAAAAGACTTAGGTAATATTGATTTATTATCCAGCATGGTGAGTTTCAGATCACTTTCTTTAGTATCTCTGTTTCCTTTTACCTTACATTTATCTAGTTGACCCTTTATTTTTCATATTTAAATGTTCTTAATATCTGTGATCGGATCGTTCTAAGTGTATTATGCTAATATGTATCACACAGTTCTGATGATTTTTATTTTCTTACTACACTATCCAAATAAACCAGTATAGAAAAATATAATTTACAGAATACGTATCAAGAGTGAAAGTTTTTGAAACAGCAACAACGACTTCAAACTTTATAACTTAACCTATAGTGTACCCAATCCAAATAATAAATGATACCATCGGGTTATTTATTCGAGCCCTCAATGCATTGTATAATAGTATGCACCCGACGTTGTACAACATAAGAGAATACAGGACTACCTAATCAAAATCCAAATGACCATCAAGCATCATTGTACTTGAAATAGCAACAACCAAGATACATCCAGTACTTAGTAATACATCTGAACTAACTAGAATTACAAAACAGCATTAAAAACGAAATCATAGTATCGCGATACTTAAGTGATAAATCAGACGTATATGCTAAAATTACTAACAATGATAAAGTACTAATAGTAGAAATTATTTAAAAGAGATAACTTACGATTGACTTGATCTTCAGGGGTATGTATAATGGGAGCTGTAGGTTTGATACTTCCAGCAAACTTTGATGTTGGAAATTCACTTGGTTTGGATACGTCTTGATAGGAATTTTTGAAAACGCCAGAATCTTGCTTTACTTGATCAGACACAGAAGGCAAATTTGACCTGTTCAATATTTGCCACCCAGAAGCTAATAATGGACGTAACTGACAGACTTTATTCAAAATAGACGACACATCAATTAACAGACCTCGTTTTGAAAATTCAGAGTTAAGATCATGTGATCGTAGTAACCCCGTCCGCCATTCGTTTTTGCGGGATCTCCTAGCTGGACGTAAAACCATCCGACAATTATTACAAACAACAAGTGAACAAAGTTCGTTATTACTCAACAAGTCTACATTCGAAAATAGTTTCGAGTCAAATGATGTACCACCGCACAAACGATGAAACCAACATAAACAATGTGAACATTGAATAAGACCAAGTTCTTTTTCTGTAGCATATTGTCGTGCATTGCAACAGTGACAAGAAAGTAGTCTGGTGAACTCAGGTGCATTTGATCTATCAGAATAGGGTTCACTAAAAACAAGAAAATAAATCTATATGAAGACGACAAAAAACCTAGGATTGCATCCACATAAAACAAAACAAGCTTGAGTTAAGTTAAATTCATTTTGAAACAAGTGCATACAGTTTGGAACTGCAACACCATTAAATAACAATTCTAAAGATGTAGGTGCAAGTATTAGAAACATGAAGAATGAGAAAGGGATCCAAATTGATGATTGTAAATCGCACTCGATTATAAAACTAAGTACTTTTAATACACAAAAAACCATTCAGAATATACAGCGACTTTAAACTCTGTTGGCAAATAGAGAACTTAAAACTGTATTTTCTTTATTTCTCATTAAGTTTCACGGTTTTACGAATTAAAACTAATGAGGAAAGTAAGCAATAGATAACTTATATACGTCTTCTGAACGGTGCCCCCAAATGCCCTAGTACGGCCGAGAGTGGGGAGAGTTCTCTCTCCCTCTCGAAATGCTCTCACATGGCCACGTGTATATAGTCTCTGCCAGGGAAGTCCTACTCACTGCCTTCTCGCACCACGGGTGTTGTTTACAGAAATGAGAGGACGAAAAGCGAATGTCCGGCGTTTTAACCGGATCCCAAATCAATGGTGCACATGGGCTGGCTCCAGTATCCTGAGTGAATAAATGGCGTATGAACCAATCGTTGGTCACCGGATACCATGGGACTGAATTTCCTTACGATGCTCCACTGCCTTGTGGATCAGACATCCAGGTCAAAGTCTCTTGTTGTGGTCCCCTAAGTAAACCACCTGCTTCGGTTTGGGCAACCGTGCAGTATCACAGCCCTCACACATATCCAATGAGATCTGTGTGGCGCATATGCATTCGGTGCCTCCTTGTACCGATATCTATGTGTTAAAATAATAATAATAATAACTTCTGAACGGTAATTACCCAATAAACTAGTCCCTTTTAATTATGCGGAACATTTACATTATAACAATGCATTTAAAAGTATTGACTAAGACAAATTTTTAAAAATGTTTCGGGCAAAACTAACTATAAAAAAGTCACAGAAGTCATCAGATAAAAACCATCTTTGAACAAAAGTCAAGAATGAGAAAAGCTAGTGAATAATAAGATAACTATTATAAAACCAAATACCTCGGTTTTTCCTTTGAGATTGGTCCAAGAGAAGATAACTGTATATGAGATTTCCATGGCAAATATCGATTCTGATAAATTTCTTTTTTCGTGTGTGTTGTGGATTTTGTGTTACCAGATACACCTTTGTGATAATTAACAATGTGAGCGTCGAGTAGTTTTGAATTCCGCAACTGACGAGAGCAGTGAGGGCATGGATATACAACAGGAGCTGCTGATTTGGCGGGAACTTTCGTGAGAATCTCTTTTGAGTTAGGCATACTAGATATTTTTATTTCTGCTTCTCTTTTGTATACTATGGTTCGACGTGGTCGTTCATCACATTTACTTGACTCAGACAAATTTGATGAACTGTTTGAGAGATGAGATGTCTTCTCTAACAGTTTCGTTTCTTTCTTTAAGCAAAAGCATTATACTGACATTATCATAAACAGAAGCAGTATCTAACTAAAATACAATACACGAAATTGGCAAAAAGGACACATCAAAAACGAACACTGGTACGACAAGCATAATCTTTCATTGTGAGTAGTGTTACAACCCCTTATAATGGCTTCAGTTTAGTTTCAACTCCACAAGATCAAGTAAAACTGACCACTGCCTCTTTACACAGTGATTTACAGATTTATCTACATAACTATGTAGGAAAAAATATGGTACACTATGAGAGAAAAGCCAAATGTCACTATGTAAAATATAACAAAACATGAGAATTTGATGAGGTCGGAAAATAATGCACATTAATAATGAGTAAAAAAGGCCAACCAATACACGTATCAGCTTTTCGTCATACAGCTTGTGTAGAAGTTATGAATTTTACCAAAAATAAGTTCAGCATTATTCCTAGAAAATTTCTAGCGGTTCCAAACCCCAAGCAATCTGACCAGGGAGTCATCATATATTATAAGATAACTTGCTTTTCCATCACTCCACAACGCTACATAATGAAACTCTTGGGCTTCGCGTGACCTGGAACAATGGTCTTGTGACTACGTGACACATAACATAAACACTGAAGTTGAAACGCTTTTGTAAAATGAAATGTAGGAATAAACAATCCTATTATTAACCATGAATCACTCAATAAAGGAGACTGGTATAATGCTAAGGTGACGAAAACCAAATGTTTAAAAAACACTTCTCATACACGGCTCACATGAAAAGATATGACAACGATCCATGTAACCAATGACTGTTAAATTGAGTCCCATAAGGAAATTCAAATTTGATAGGTACCACCTACAAAACCACATAGATCGATTACTGAAAACTCCGAATGTTGCGGCTTACGATCCATGACCGTGGTTGTTAACTTATTACACTAACCACTGTTCCTAAAACACTTAACACAAATACAGTTGGCCACGAATCATATTTTTATCATGTCTATCACTATTAGATCATTAACAATCCAGTATTCCCCTCGACCATTTTCAAATCAAAGCACGGCTTGAAGCAACACTATGCAGATACAGACAACTCTTACAAGTAAAGAGAAGATCTAAGATGCTACTTCACATAACGAACTGGTTATTACAGATCATCCTGATACGGCAAAGAGTAAGAGGGTATCAACCTCCTTAAAAAGCTCTCATATAACTGGGTGCTTGTCTCCCAACATAAAAACCTTTACTCCCTGGTTTTACCTAAGGGGTGTTTTACAAAAGAGTAGGAAGACATCCAACACAGAATGAGATGGCGATCATATTAAGTGTACCTAAAGGCGTTGGATCGGATCCAAAATGGTGAGGGAAATAATGACCTATGGACAGACTTAAGTAACCTGTAACAATGAATATACATTTCCTGACATTGTTGACTTGCTGCGCAAATCAAACTATCAGGTCAAATGGCTATGAAGTGATTCCTGTGAAATATCTGTTTCAGCTACTAAGGCTTCGTCATACAATTACCAACATTTACAAAAACTATCGTCAGACTAATTTAACCCCTATAATGGACCGTATAACTAGGGAATATCACTTAAGAGCACACACTTTACGCACTGAAAACTGTGACCACAAAAACGATTTGATAGGTTTTAAATGATAAAAATTATACTTACTATTTCGTCACTTTTCTGAGAGGATGAGATTGGCGATCCCAGTGGTGGCGTGACTGTGTTTTCTGTTGTATAATTTTCAGCTCTAACAGAACTACTTTTAGGACTGTTCAGTAAATTGGGATCACGCCTTGTCTGGTGATTTGACCTTTCGGAGGATGTTTGACCTAAGGAAGACACAGAACTATCGAATCCATATAGATACATTTCATTCTCTTCGATAGCTTTTCTTTTCAATTCACGGCGTCTTCGACAGGCCTCGTGAAATTGGAAAACACTCTTATCATAAACCATTCCATCTTGTTCGATAATCCCGTCATACAATGTTGGGTGAAGAATTTTCTTGTCTTCTAAGGCAGATGAACTGCTAGCGCTTGCATGAGTAGGACGTGATCGGTACTTTGGTATTTCAGGATCTAAGGTACGGTCTGTTGACCTGCTTTCTGACAGAGTCGTTCTTATTCTTTTAGCTCGAGGTATTCCTGATGTATATTCACTACTACTACTACTACTACTACACGAATGTTGCAGATCGAATTTATTGGGGATTTTATTTGTAGATAGTGAGCCTTGCTCTTTGCAGAATTTTAAAACATAATCGATTTCATATTGAGTTGCTTTGCGTAACTTATTGACGGGTGTCCACTCTACAACGCGATCCCAAATATAGCGCAAACGATACTCTGCTCTTGTGCCGTGTCGCTGACGATGGGCTAGAACCTCAGCAAGATATTCGAAGTCGTTGCGCCATGCAGCCATTACATAGCTACCCACGTCAAAATGGCTGCCACTGGTTTCTGGACTTTTGTTCATCGAACAGTTAAAAGGGTAGGGTTTTACCAGTTTCGCAGTATCCTTTGTGAAATCTTTTTTCACAGCGCGTAAGCATTTTGAATTTATCGGATACCAAGAGTCATAACGTGAACTCCAATCACAAAAATGAACATGAACCTGGAAATAAAAGAACATTTTCTTTGCAAATAACGAATAATTTAAGTCATTTAACGACTATGCAGTTACGTACCTGCTTTCAAGCCACAACACTGTATGAGGGATAGTGATACTACACGTCCGTTTAAACCCAAGTAGGAGCTGAATGCAGAAAAGTAACTCACCGATTGGAAGTTAGTGCCCTCAAATTTCATGGTATGGTCGAGAGTTGGGAGAGTCCGTTCTCCCTCTCCAAATGCTCTCACATGGCCACGTGTATACAGCCACTGTCAGGGAAGTCCTGCTCTACCTTCTCGAAGGGAGGGTGACGTCTACGAAATTGAGGGCGAAAAGCGGATGTTCAATGGTTTAACCAGGTTGGTGGATACAGAGGATCTACCTAGGAAAGTTGGAAAACCTTAATTCCAAACTAATGGTGCACATAGAGGCCAGGATCGTGAGAGAACAACTGATGTATTAACCCATTCTTGGTCACCAATTACCATGAGACTACATCTCTTAACGTTGCTCCACTGCCTTGTGGATTTGACCCTCAGTTCAAAGACTTGAGGAGTGTCTTGTTACGAAAACCACCTGCTTAAGTTTGGGCACCTGAACAGTATTCCAGCCCTCATATAAATTGAATCATTTGTGTAGTGCATATATATTTAGTGCCTTCATGACAGTCAGCTACAGCGTAGGACCAGGCACATATCCATCGGTCCAAGTTACCACACCACATTAGCACATGATAAACACCAAATTCATAAAAGTAGTCACTTCAATGGTAGTAACGTAAAAATGAAATATAATATAGGGAGAAAGAATTAGTTCGTAGAAATAAAGGTATAAAGCAATTTTAATCCCACGGTTTAAGGGAAGACAAAGAGTGTATACACCTACACCATTGTGATCGATTCTGAGCCATGTCACCCAGAGTCTAACCATTTGTTATGATAGTCGCGCGGACCCCAACCAAGTTGTCTGCACCCACCAATATGGCTCAGAGCAGATTTATTTATTTATTTATTTGAAAACATAAATATTGGTACAAGGGGCACCAAATATATATGCGCCACACAAAACAATGATAATTTGAAGAGAAAGGAGAAAAAAGAGAGAGAACAACAATGGGGGAAACAGAAAGGTACACTCAGAAGAAATCTTTCAGTTAAGGAAGATACAACCACTTTTTATGAAGAAAGTAAAAGAAGGTTACAGCAGGATCGCTACTGGCTTCTATTCTGAACCATATCTGATAACGTCTCTAGCCACTGTGTTACACCGTCTCTCGGACCCCAGCCAGGGAGTCATGAAGGACCAACAGAAGCTAGCCCTTTACAGCTTTCTTTTATACCACGACACCATGTCATACACTGACCACTTCTCCGCTTTTTCCAACCAGTCCCAGAGTCAGCAAATAATGCACGACGTGAAATTCTCTGGGACGACATTCGTAGAACATGTCCAAGCCACCGAAGTCGGTGTTTCGACATGGTGACACCAATTGCATTATCGTCACTGTGCCCGAACACACGATGCCGAACCTCTGCATTACTAACATGGTGTTGCCACTGAATGTCAGCAATCCTTCGGAGACAACGATGATCGAACACAGAGAGTCGTCTAACATCCTCAACTCGGAGAGGCCAGGTTTCACAAGCATAGAGCAAAACTGCTCTCACCCACGCGTTGTAGATCCGACCTTTTACAGCCAGACTGACATCACGAAGGCGCCAAAGATGGCCCAGATTGGCATAAGCCGCTCTGGCTTTCACTATGCGTGCATTGATCTCATCATTCACGCAACCACCAGCACTTATGCAGCTACCCAGATACATGAACTTCTCGACTACTTCAATCTGCTCACCATCCAGAGTGAGTACAGGATTAGAATCCTGCCACTCTTGTAGAAGTACTTTGCACTTCGAAGGTGCAAAGCACATACCATACCTACGGACACTGATTGCCAACTGATTAAGTGCGGATTGCATAGCTTGGGCATTATCGCACAGTAAGACAATATCATCCGCATACTCAAGGTCGAGAAGTCTTTCTCCAGGCAACAGATCCACACCACCATTACTTACATCCGTCAGAGCTGTTTCCAGAATGTCATCGATGGCAAAGTTGAAGAGGAATGGTGAGATTGGGCAACCCTGTCTAACCCCACTGCTTGAATCGAACAATGGAGAAATGTGGTTGTATGCATTCACTCTGCCTGAGGTGTTTGTATATAGGGCTTTTAGGATGTTAATAAACTTCTCAGGCACACCCTTCTTCAATAGACAATCCCAGAGAACAGTTCTGTCCAACGAATCGAAGGCAGCCCTGATATCAAGAAACACTACGATTGTTGGCCTTTGATAAGTATGGCGGTGTTCTAACATTAGGCGGAGGGTGAAGATATGATCAATACATCCTCGACCAGAACGAAAGCCAGCTTGTTCCTGGCGAGTCGATCTTTCTCGGATTTTGAAAAATCGACGAAGTATGATGGAAGCCAACAGTTTGGACTCAGTCGTAAGTAGACTTATCCCCCGACAGTTGTTACAGAAACGACACGAACCTTTTTTAAACATGGGTACAACTTTCCACCCGTTCCATGATGTTGGAACACTCGCTAGCTCTTAAACTTTTGTTAGCAACTCAGTCAGTTCCTTAACCGGAAAGTCACCACCATCTTTAAAAAGGGTCGGATGCAAGTCATTTGCGCCTGGTGATTTGTAGCGCTTCAGGAATTGGAGTTCCTTATGGAGTTCCGCCTCGTTAGGTGGATCGGTCGTAACAGACCATGTGGGTCGGGACAGTCTGACCGATGTTGCCAGGGCAGTAGACCAGTTGAATCGCTTCTCGAAAAACTCTGCCCGTCATCTTCGCAGATTGTTTCGCTCACACCAGCATTCTTGCTGCCAGTGGCTCGGATGAGTTGGAAGAGCTTCCGGTAATTACCAGATGCAGCTGCTGCTTCCATCTCATTAGCACGCTCCGACCGCCAGGCTTCTCGGTCCTTACGCAAGCTTTGCCCAATTTCGTTAAGCAACATCCTTCGTCTTTGATCAAACTCACGGTCACCCGGAGTAGACCGACAGGCTTCAATCAGTTGTAAGGAACCAGAAGAAAACCAGTGCTTGTAAGCGGGACGTTTCGCAAACCCACAACAGACTGTACCCGCCATTTTCATGGCGTCATGCAATTGCAACCAATGCTCATCTATACTTTTCGGAGAATGGTAGCTAGCCTAGAAGCTAGCTCGGTTCGGTACTTACTAGCAACAGAAGTTGCAGCCAGCTTGCTAACGTCAATCCTTTGGTGGCGGTCACTTCGTTGTCCACTGAAAAGTAAGGTAAGATTGGCGCAGACCAGGGCATGATCAGATTCCAGATAGGTACTCGAAAAGGAGAGGCAGTCTTGTACACAACCAAGCCAGCGGTAGCTGATCGCGATGTGATCAATCTGTATCCAGGCTTGAGATGTAGAAGGAGGACGCCAGGTGGCACATCGGCGATGACTGTGCCGAAAGTTAGTGCTAGCCAGAAACAGGTTGTGGTCTGTGCATAGTTGCAGTAGACGTTCCCCGTTATCTGTCCTGCGACCAACGAGTCCCCATCGGCCACCTAAACAACTCTCTTCTGTGCCTAGACGCCCGACCTAAGCATTCAAGTCTCCGGCTAGTACTACAATATCTGTCGAACGCACTTTCTGGAGAAGAACAGATAACTGGTGGTAGAACTCATCCTTGATTGCATCCGGGCTGCAATCTGTCGGGGCATAGGCGGAGATGACGAAAAGACAGCGTTTCTCACTCCGATTTCTTCTCACTTTGATGGAACTTTCTAATCTAACAGCACATAACCGACTATTAATGGGGATCCAGTCGACTAGTGCCGCCTCAGCTCTTGCGCTTAGTGCGACACCAACGCCAGCAAGACCAGACGAAGATGCCACAGTGTGTCAGGATAAACGCACGTAAAACAAGCTTTTTGAAGTGACAGATGGAGAGCGAATTTGTAGTACTTCACCAGAGTGTTGAATACGGGTCTCGGATAGACAACACACGTCAATATTAAGACTTTCCAAAGACATAGCCAGCCCTATCTGTTGTCCGACCTGCATAAGTGTGCGAACGTTGAAGGCAACCAGTTTGAATGGTGCACGTGGTTTTAGAAAAACTGCTTCAGTACTCGTATTCGGTGGTAACATACAATTTTCAACCAGGCAGTGACTCGAGAACCTTTAGATAGAGCCGAATTTTCACCATAGGCGAGATGCTGTCTAAGTCGAAACGGACACATAAAGTGGGAATAAGAGAGAATGAATAAATGACGTAGTAAAATAATAATAATAATAATAATAATAATAATAATAATAATAATAATAATAATAGTGCGAGTCATTTCATTGTAAATCGGAGCGAAAGGAATATTTTCCATAAACAGTTCATCATGTTTTAGTGCGTGGGCTGAGATACTGCCCGGGTGCCCAGAGCGAAGCAAGGAAGCAAAAGTTAGTAACTTCAAGGACTGATGCCACGTTTTGGTTTGGCCGCCCCTAACTTTCCTCCAACCATTCCCGAAACTAGTCAGCATTGCGCGTCTCAGTAATCGGTGTTCAGGAATACGAAACACGTGGTCCATCAATAATACCGTGCGTCTAATTCCATTATTACTTACCCAGTGATCCCAGCAGATGCGAGCTATATTTCTAAGGCATCTGTGGTCAAATACTAGCAACTTAAGAGTATCTTCAACTATTAATGGCCATGTTTCGCAACCGTACAGTAGAACAGAACGAACTGCCGAGCAGTATACTCGTCCCTTAATTGATAGACGGATATCTCGCCTTCGCCATAGGTGACGTAAGTTGGTAAATGCCAAATGAGATTTTCGAATTCGGGCTGAGATTTCGTCAGACAACAACCCACTACGGCTGATCAGACTTCCAAGATAAGTGAAGTTGTCAACGCGTTCGACTACTTCACCCCCTATCCTTAGTTCAGGTGTTGACGAAGACCAGTCCTGAAGCAACAACTTGCATTTAGAGGGAGAGAAGCGCATCCCAAACATTCTGGCATTGTTGCTCAGTGCTACCGAAAGACTGCATTTTCTCAGCGTCTTCACCAAACAGGACTATGTCATCTGCGTATTCTAATTCGATAAGTGGACTTCCTAGTAGGAGATCAATGCCAGAGAATTCAGTCGATGAGAGCGTTATTTCCATCAGTAGATCTATGATGAAGTTAAACAAAAATGGAGAAAGTGGACAGTCTTGATTGACACAAATTGAGGTTGCAAAATTAGATGAAAGTTCGCCATAAGCTCTGACCCGACTAGTAGTGTTCGAGTAAAGAGCTCTCACGAGGTTTATGTACTTCTGAGGTACGCCTTTCAATGACAGGCACTGCCAATTGAGACTAACGTATAACTGAACTAGAACGTATCCAGTCACAGACCAATAGAATGTTGATCAGTTATCTACAAAGCTATTTCAATAATGTTGTTTGCTTTGAATATAAATTTGAACGAACCCGCCCTCTGGAGACGGATAGGTTTCCATAACCCATTATACTACAAAAATATATAAAGCACCCCAATAATCTCAATATTGAATTCATTTATTTGATGTTCACTTTAAAAATAAAAATGAAGTTAAAGTGATCATAGGGGGAACACATTTCCAGTTACAAACAGTAAAGAGTGAACATGTTGAATGTTTTCCCTATGATGTAGAGTATAAGATTTTAGCCAAATATATATTTAGCTGTTATACTGAGTAATAGATCTCACTAGTTGCATATTTATCTACTTGGCTTTAAGCTATATTGCCTATGTGGGTGGACCTCAAACTGTAAATTAGTTATTACAATATTCAGATTTCAATCAGGTTATCACTTCGAACCCTACCCAACCTAGTCCTGTCTAGGTAGCTGGGTAGCATCAATCAAAACCACAGAACCTTTACACTACTTGTAAAGTGAATTTTTAACTACCAGACCACTGCCCAACTACCTTAAATAGTCGAGGTAATTACAGTAATTACAATGATATTAGTTGGAACATTCGTCAGTGGAAGATATATATGTAGAGTATGTTAATAATATGCTGGGAAATAAAGCGCAACTGAAAAAAAACACTGTAGTTAGTCTAAAGTATCGAGCAAGTTTATCGTAACACAATGCATCACTAAGAATGATGCAGCAATAAATATGCATGTCATTTGTAAGATGGAAGTATTTAGTATCCCAAAAATCCATATATATTTGATTAAATCTGACAGATCTAATGTTGCAAAAGCTATAAGTTTACCTAGACACACAGCATGACATGCCGAAGCACGCTTCATTAAACCTGGTGTTATTGAATTACTGTTTTAAAGTTGATAGATGAATGAGAAATATGGTACACAAAAACTTTAAAACCGGGAATTCGGGATGACGAAGCGTGTGCTTGTATGGCAGACAAATATATTTGTTGTTAAAGCTATAAACTGGGGAAAGTGTGCTAATGCATATCGGTCACGGCAATAGTTACCATGATACTATTGATGGTAAACCTCTTCCATGCATTCGAGAACATAAAGACCTAGGAGAAATAATAAGTCATGACCTTATAGTGACAACTACGCATTGCAACACAGCCGCTGTCAAATTTTTTCGTGCGTCATGGTCGCTTCGCCGAACGTTCAAATCTTTTGACGAGGAAATGTTTCGAATTTTATATCCCACCTATGTAAGACCACATTTAGAGTACTGTATCCGAGCAGCTAGCCCATGTCTGGTAAAGGATACTAACTCACTTGGGCGTGTCCAGCATGTGGGAAGGAAATTAGTGAAGGGTCTTTCTTAACTCCTTTACGATGAGCGTTTAAAATGCCTAAACCTTTTTCCCTTGTTGTATCGTAGGACTCGAGGTGACCTTATACTGGCATTTCGTATCTTTAATTATGATTTGGGTGTTAATATGTCTTATCTTTTTGCTCTCTCCAGCACTAATAATCTCCGAGGTCATTGCAAGAAGGTTCATAAACCGCGATCTAATAAACTTAAAGTGGGGTTTCGTTTTTCGCATCGAGTAGTCAGTGATTGGAACGCCTTACCCGAACAAGTGGTATCAGTCCCATCAGTAAATATTTTCAGGAAGAAACTGGACCTTCACTGGAAGGAAATCTGTTAGGATTACCACAGGTTCACCAACCTACTGTCCTTATTACTGAAGATTGTAGAGAGTAATACACAGGCTCTTCGTGATCAGTTTATTTTTCGGTGAAGACATAGAAACAGAATAAATTTGTATGGACAGCGCTGACTACAAGAAAAGCTGACATTTGTTTGAGGAAGCCATGTAACACACTAAATGCACCACACATCAAGAAAGATTTTAAACACTTAAGAGTTTCTTGACACCCGTATGTGCTAGCATGCAAGATATTGAATAAATTGCTGACTTACTCTACTTTTTTCAACTTCGAGGACCTTCACAGGGTACCAGTTTCCATAAGAGTCTTTTGCCTCAAGAAACGTATCTTTAACAACTTCTCCACAGATGCTTTTCAGTAATAAACGTTCTTCACTTTTAGACATATTAAAACAACGACAAGATGCAACCTGAACATGTCGAAGTTACAAAGTGAAATGTAACACGTGTAATCAGCATTAATTGGAATATAGGGAAGATCCAAAAAAGCATCATACATGCCGTAGTCAGTTAATAAAATAAAAAGTAGAATAAGAACCAAACTTCGCGCCCAGAAAAAAAGCATATCTTTTTTCAAAATAGTCTTACACATAATCAATCAAATTCAGTTTGTTCTTCACAAAACTGCTTCAAATATTGTTTCCACTCGTCGCAGCAACGAATCGGACCCGTGAGCTAGTGAAGGGGCGTGACGCTTCTGGTATTTCAATTGCTTTAAATGTACTTAACAACCTATTATTGCCAACCCAGCATATTTACGGCGACCTATAACGAACTGATTGATCTCTTTGAGCCAGCGTTTTGCTGTTTTTTGTGCATTTCCGGTAATTAATTAATGTCCAATGGTTGGTTGTCAAATCATTGTAGTGAATTAATTCTAGACAGGTTGAAAATTATTTGCGGATTTATAAGTCTTGTTATTCCAGTGAGTGAATTTGTATCAGGGAAGTAAGGCTGCTGGATACCAGCAGCTATCATATAATCAGGCAAGAGGTTTGTCGATTGCCATGCTAAAAGTTGTAAAGCCAGAATTAGGACGCTCAGATTAGACCAGTATCTGAAGAAATAACAAATAAGTAAATAAGACGATTAAATGATGATGGTAATGGATACAGTGTGACATGCCATACGTTTAAGAAACGAAAACCAAACAGGTGATGATAGGGAATATAATAATAGCTTAATGATATATGTAATGGAAAGAGAACACTGAAAATCCCTCCACAGTTTTTTTGTTGGACTGCAATGTCATTTATTCGTTTCTTCTCCCTGTTCAGTATTTTAATCTTTGTTCAGATCTCTTTTGACCACACTTTATATTCTTCAGCCTTCGTCGTCTGAGCTTTTATTGTGTGATTTTGATTAAAGACTTACCTTTTGTTACCTGATTTTCGATTGCATGTTGCAGGACTATTTTTAACAGTAAGGTCGTGTTTGACTAAGCTCAAGGTCACGGCTTGGCTCAGTGTGTGACTGTTAACCTTTGATTGTCTGCTTGGGAGGATTGTTGAAATCCCTGCAAACAGATATGCGATCCCTTCTTGTTGGGGGTTTTATTGATCCTCAGGTATTGAACTCTTTTGTATTAACTGCTTCTTTTGTTGTTTAGCATGCTAATTTGTGATAGGGAAACATTTGACTGTAAAGAACAGGCTGTACCGTTTGAGGTACTTTGTATTTTTGATATAATTTGTTCTGTTTCCTAAATTAGAATCGTTTAAATTGAGCACATACTTTGTGTTGTGATATAATTTAAGACGACTAAGTAAAAAACGCTTCGTATGCAATACAGAAGGACGTAGTCCGGTTTAATCGAATAAATGTTGAATCGTTAGTCCTGCGTTTAAACCGAATATCGGCACTTCTTTCGTCACAATATATGTTAAATAAAACGCCAGTAATTTATGATATATGATACGGGAACGGAAATCAGAAGATGATGATCCCATGGGAAACCGGTTCTATGGCCTCCACGTAAAGGTAATGACAATCCTCATACACACTGCATCAAATGTTAGAAACATACGTGATGGTGCTTCTTATGGAACAATATGGAGGTACGCTTATTTTTCGTCATTGAGGCTTAGGGTTACAGCGAATAAACAGGAAGATGATTTACCGTTCTTTAACCGACCTGTCAGTCTTTGCAGGACCTTGAGGAACGACTGTTCTGGCCAGTATAGCTCGATTGATTCATCACGATAGGCAAGTGTGGTGTTTGAATGAACTAATAACTCCTTTGTACTTGTTGAATGCCTGATTCAGAATTCTAAATACAGTACATTCGTTCTTGCTTATCCAGTAGTTCTTAATCCACTTACGTTATTTCTGGGATTATTAGTTCATACTATAATTCAAATACTTCTAATCATCATTTTGGCGTCGCGATGGAACAGTTAGATTTTCATTCAACTTCTGAAGCTGTTGAGGACTATTTGGAAAGGTTTGAAATCTAGAGCATGACCAAGAAGGATGTTAAAAGTGATAAAATTGTGGCACGTTTCCTGACATTTATCGGAAAAGAAGCATACAGCTTATTAAAAACTTTGGCATATCCAGGAAAACCTATCTCACTTCCTTATGCAACTATTAAAGAGATATTATTAAATCATGTAAAGTGCACTAGTTTTGAATGCCGTGAAAGGGCGAAATTTCATAAGATAATTCGTCAAAATGACCAAAAGTTTAGGGAATTCATCCTTGAATTGCAAAAACAAGCTGCCAAATGTAATTTCGGTGATCAACTTCATGTGCAACTGAGAGACCGATTAATCACAGGAATCAACATACCGTGTTTCGAAAGAGAGCTGTTAAGAATGCCCAACTGTTCCTTTTGAAATGCTAGAACAGCGTGTATTAACTACGAGGCAGTGTATGAACTTGATATCCAGTCGATGAATATTTCTAATACTTTACTTAGTCGTCATGATGAAATACAATCTCAGGGTCAATCAAAATTGCGTTCGTTTAACAGTGGCTCCTATTCTCGTGTAAATATGAAAGGTGTTTCAACAAGGAATTACAAAGGAAATCACAAAGGTGAGACCAAGTTTGGCAAATGTTTATCATGTGGAAAACTTCATTCTCGTATTTCATGTGCATTTCGTAATGCTAAATGTTTTGGATGTGGTAAGATAGGACACATTCAATCAGTATGCAAAGCTACTGTAAGGATACTCCAAACTCTCTTCAGAAAGATCTGGGATGAGGAACAGGTACCAAAAGACTAGAAAGAAGGACTTCAAGTCAAAATACCAAAGAAAGGAGATCTCAGCAACTGTGACAACTACAGGGGAATCACTCTTCTTTCAATACCGGGAAAAGTCTTCAACAGGGTATTGTTAAACAGGATGAAGGACTCCGTAGACGCCCAACTTTGAGACCAACAGGCAGGATTCCGTAAGGATAGTTCGTGCACAGACCAAATCGCAACTCTACTGATCATTGTGGAACAATCAATTGAATGGAATTCATCACTCTATATCAACTTCATCGACTACGAAAAAGCATTTGATAGCGTGAACAGAACAACCCTATGGAAGCTTCTTCGACACTACGGCGTGCCTCAGAAGATAGTCAATATCATACCGAATTCCTATGATGGATTAAACTGCAAAATCGTTCATGGAGGACAGTTGACAAAGTCGTTCGAAGTAAAGACCGGTGTTAGGCAAGGTTGTTTACTCTCACCCTTTCTCTTTCTCCTGGTGATCGACTGGATCATGAAAACGTCAACATCTGAAGAGAAGCTCGGAATACAGTGGACAGCTGGGATGCAGTCGGATGATCCAGACATCTCAGATGACCTGGCTCTTCTATCGCATACGCAACAACAAGTGCAGGAGAAGACAACCAGTGTAGCAGCAACCTCAGCAGCAATAGGTCTCAATATACACAAAGGGAAAAGCGAGATTCTTCGATACAACACAGCATGTAACAATCCAATCACAATTGACGGAGAAGCTTTGGAAGATGTAAAAACCTTTACATATTTGGGCAGTATCATCGATGAACACGGTGGATCTGATGCAGATGTGAAGGCACGGATTGGCAAAGCAAGAGCAGCATATCTACAACTGAAGAATATCTGGAACTCAAAACAATTGGCAACCAACACCAAAGTCAGAATTTTCAATACAAATGTCAAGACAGTTCTACTGTATGTGGCGGAAACCTGGAAAACTACGAAATCCATCGTCCAAAAGATACAGGTGTTTATTAACAGTTGTCTACGCAAAATACTTCGGATCCGTTGGCCGGACACTATTAGCATCAACCTACTGTGGGAGAGAACAAATCAGATCCCAGTAGAGGAAGAAATCAGGAAGAAGCGTTTGAAGTGGATAGGACACATATTGAGGAAAGCACTGAACTGCGTCACAAGACAAGCCCTCACATGGAATCCTGAAGGCTGAAGGAGGAGAGGAAGACCAAAGAAAACATTACGCCGCGAAATGGAGACCGACATGAGAAAAATGAACAGGAATTGGATGGAACTAGAAAAGAAGGCCCAGGACAGAGTGGGTTGGAGAATGCTGGTTGGCGGCCTATGCTACATTGGGAGTAACAGGCGTAAGTAAGTAAGTAATAATTCAAATACTTCTAATCGTCATAGCAAGCTCGACCACCACATCAGGATAGAAACAACGGTCGAGGCACTGAAAAGAAACATGGGCGTGTTCGGGTTTGGGCTAATTTAAAACGTTTATTGTGAAGTTATTTGTCTTCTGAGTACCCTGTTTTTGTAAATCAAAGTAACGAATTGTGATGTATGTTTACTGTTAAAGACTACCCGTGACGGGACACGAGTAGCATGTATCCCAACTGCGTACTGTATATTGCTCATCGTAATCAGTCGTAGTATCAAGTGCTCGTGCATTTAACCAATACAGTCTATTGATGCAACCAGTGACTGTCGTGAACCTGTTTTCGGTAGACTAGATTGGCCTCTTAAGACACTATGGTTCTTCTGACCTTTGAATATCACTTATCACAAAGAAACAGTCCTAGTTGACAAGCTTCTCGTTAAAAATATTTTGTTTTACAGCATATTATCGTCTCTTACGTTTCTTGTAAGGTTCAGTGTTACACAGGACTACGTCTTTATGAGCGTTCATTAGTAAAATACGATACAACCGGTAGCTAAGTTGCGCTGGTTTTAGGCTTTAACTGGTTTGTGCATACATCTAATTTCTATCCTAATATAGTTTCCACTATTGTTTTTAGTCAAGACTAAGGTGTTCTTAACGTATAAAAAGGTAATTCACCACTCACGTTTAAACTTGACTGACATGACACTATGACCCCAAGGAGAGTGTAGCATCTTCACATTAGTCTGTGCACCCAAACTTGTAATTGTTTCCTGGAATATCTTACGTCAGTCACT